AGGATAATAAATGGAGTGGAGGTGGACATTTTGAAGGCAGACTAACAGGTCTTTGAGTCAGAATTCTAGCTGATAGACAGGTGTTCAAATACTTATTTGCAGCTGTATCATACAAATAAATAGTTAAAAAAATCATACATTGTGATTTCTGGGGGGTTTTTTTAGATTATGTCTCTCACAGTGGACATGCACCTACGATGACAATTTCAGACCCCTCCATGATTTCTAAGTGGGAGAACATGCAAAATAGCAGGGTGTTCAAATACTTATTTTCCCCTCACTGTATGCCACCACCTTATGAAACCATTTGTCAGAGCTCTAGATAAGGAGTCGGTACCTTTCCCTGTCGTAAGCCTTACTATCCTAAGTGTGTATTAATACATGTTAATTTGGATTCATATATTGTTTGTTACTGACTTCATGTAAACAAAAAGACTAAACAATTACCAATTTTCTCATTGCAAATATGTACATTTCAACCATCACTATCCTGGTCACAAAAGCCAAGTTTGTGGTGAATAATAGCCATTTTCTACACTTTTGAGGCATAAGCAATAACTGAATAACAGTTACTACTCAGGAACAAAGAAAAAGAAATGTTACACAGTGTTATTGACAACTTCACATTAGGCAAAAGGGCAGCAGAGGAAATTTTAATCATAATTTGTTACTCACATGCTTGCAAAAATACACTGGCATTGCCAACTCAAAAACAACTCCTTACCACCCACAAGGGAACCCAACTGAAAGATTTAATCACACCTTGTTATTGGCGCTGCAGACCTTGGATAAAAAGAAGAAGGAAAATTGGACTATGTGAATAAAGTACTTCACAACCAGTAAGGCAAAGGGATACTCTCCTTTATAGTTGCTTTTTGGTAGAAAGCCCCATTTGCCAATTGACGTGATATTTGGGATAGATGATGGAAAAGGATGTAATTTACACCAAGAATATGCTCAAAAATGGCAGCAGCAAATGAAAGAAGCATCCAGAAACATCAAAAAGACTATAGCTAGAGGAAAAACAAACTATGATCAGAAAAGGCAGATTCTAAGTGCACCCCTTAGGGCACCTAATCCGTCAGTATGTATCTGTGTGCTTTATCATTGCTACATGGATGAAACCCAAATTTTAACTCTCATATCACGCCAGTTCTGATGTCACTGCACTGGCATCCGATTACTTTTAGGATCCAATTCAAGATCTCCCTCCTCATCTATAATGTGCTAAATAATCTTGCTCCACAGTATTTAAGCAAACTCCTTATAACTCTGCTAGGCCCCTCATGTCCTCTGAGCAAGGTCTGCTAGTTATACCTCGTTCTAAACTAAAAGACGACCAGGCTGTGTATTTGCTGTCTTTGGTCCCAGGCTGTGGAACAGTCTCCCCCTGGGAGTCAGTGCAGCAAACTCCGCAGAGTGTTTTAAGTCACAGCTAAAGACTTATCTTTTATCTAAGTGTTTCTGTACATGAGTTATGGTGCTCACAAAGTTTGGATTTATGTTGCCTTGGAATTGTTTTGATTATATTGTTTCAATTTCTATTAAGCGATTGTCAGCTCTTTTAATGCTTCTTTTAAAGTTTTGTTCTGAGCTGTTTTTGTCTTCATTGTTTTATTGTGCTACCTCCATCCCTGTGAAGCACTTTGTAATGCTTTGCCACTTGAGGAACCAGCCCAAAACACAGTGGGAGGACAAAATCTTCATATTCAGGAAACATCAGAGGACTCAGATGAGGAGACACATTACTGGGTTCATAGACTGAGACACCACCACCAGCATGTAGAGCAAAATGTTGCACCTCAGCCTGACCTTAGTGCTGAAGCAGAGGATTTTAGAATGGAGACTGTGTACTGTGAGTCCAAATACCTGTGGACAATGACACTACTGAAAATGTCACGACTGGATATGACACCCAAGAGATGACACAAACGTTTCAGTCTGCAGACCTGCCTAGCAACTAAGAGCTGTTACACACAGCCACGCAGGTCACAGAGAGAAAGACTACTAAAGAGATAATGACATATGAATTATTAGATCAACCTACCCATGGTGTGGTGGGATTTCACACCAACACACTGTATCTACCAGCATATGGACAATACAGTCTGCCCTGGCCACCTACACAGATGTTTGGGACACACTTGGTTTATCCTACTCTTGTTCCTGTGGGATACTTTTGAAAGACTGTCTGTTAATAAGAGGTTCAATATTGAGAAATGCAGATTATTCTGTATGAATGAACAGAGTAACATGGACTGTTTTTGAACTGAGTGATTACTGTCCATTATGCATGTCATCGAACAAGAAGGACTGAGATGAACAAAGTTTTGTTTTGTTTTTTAAACACTTGCTGTTTATACTTACCTGGTTTAAACAAAATAAATTTTTTGTTGTGGTTCGCATGTGGTTCATACAAAAACATTTTACTAACATTCGTTAATTAACTGAAAAGTAGTATATACCTGTATATAAGTCAGAAGTCTCCAGCGAGTAGAGTAAAATGACAGTGTAGAGTGTAGAACAGTGTACTGTGCTGTTGTTTCAACTGCTGATGGTTAACTAGGCTGAACTTTATAGTGTAATTTATGATCGGAGTGTATTGAGATCACATGGTATACAACAGTAATGTAATCTTAGGGTAAAATCTGATGAAATGCACTTAAAATCATTTACTTGTTTCTAACTTCTAGCTATTGAGTGAGATGTTAAACCTAGAGATGTATCTTTAATGTTAAATGTTATGAATTGGGTATTTCTATGACATTCCATGGTTAATGTTGTACTTCAAATGGAAACGAATGCTAATGTTGAGGAGACCATTTATCTTGCAGAGGAGGAATGTGGCATCTGTAAAAGGGTGTTTGTTGTGTGTGTAATACATGCCCAGTTACTTTAATTGTACACTGGAATACTTAATTATTCAGTTATGTATTTTTGCATTGCCAGTAGGTGGCAGGATAAGCTGTGACATATGTCAGCGAGCAACGTAGAAGGAGCTGCAGTTATTAGACGCAGCCCTGGTCTGTTGTAAGACAGACAGTTTGTTTGTTTTGCCTGCAGGTGAAAATAGGATAAGATATAACTTTATTAATAGGGGAAATTTTGGTTGACATAGAAGCACAAAGGAATATAAAAGAACAGATGCAGTATTGTAGAAATATTAACAAACTATTTACACTATACAATCAATAATAATTATTTACAACAATTTACAACCAGATAAATGTCTGAAATATAACCAGGAAAATCCATCAGTTTGGTGCTGTGGTGTTGTGGAGACTGATGGCATAAATGAGCCTCCAATGTTCTTAGAGGCTCGGGTCTGGATGAGTCTGTGGCTGAAGGTTCTCCTGAGCTGCCTCAGCTCAGCATAGAGAGAATTAAAAGGGTTGTCTATGATGGATTTCAGCTTCCCTCTCATCCTGCACTCAGTCACTGCCTCCACACCATCCAGTTACATCCCCACCACCGAGCTGGCCTTCCTCATCAGCTTGCCCAGTTTGTTGGCACCACAAGTCCCGATGCCACCTCCCCAGCACACCACAGTGAAGAAGATGACACTGGCCACTACAGACTGGTAGAACATAAGTAGCAGCCTGGTGTACACTTTGAAGGACCTGAGCCTCCTCAGGAAGAACAGCCTGTCCTTTGCTGTAGAGGTCCTCTTTGTTGTCTGTCCAGTCCAGTTTATTGTTGAGTGGCAACCCCAGGAACTTCTACCATCTCTTCACCCCTTATTACAACAGGGTTGGGGGGCCTCTTGTTGCGTCTGAAATCCACCACCAGAGATAAAGATAAAGGGATAAGGATGAAGATAAATATGAACCACCACTAATGCCTCTGATGTCTCAATGTTGTAACAAAGACATTTAAATTTAACACAGCAATGACATCTAATAGGGGAATGTGACACATTTTTAGAATCCACATTAATCTTGTTCCTAGGACAGTTCAGCTGACATTCATGAACATGCACCTCTATTTCCTGATTACGTTTTAGTCCACCAAAGTAGCAAATTCTGGTTTCCACGTGTAAAATTGAGTTTTTATTGCTGCAGTTCAACATAGGATTAAATGGATCAACAAAATCAAACGTCACTGTCGATGGTACAGCCCCAAATTTCACATTCACTATGTCTATGTCATAATATTTTACACACCAAAAAATTGGACTATGAGGTTATCAACCAGTCTATTTATATAAATATGTTCAGGCAGCATTGACATTGCCCTCCAATAGTCTCCTGTATATGCTCTATTTTACACTATAGGTATTTTTTTTTACGGGATATTACATTACAACAATCCTGTACCAATTCTAAATGTTAAAAGTGAAATTAAACCACAGAGGCATAGAGGTAATAGTACAGAGCTGTGCTGCTTCCTCAGGGCCTGACAGTTGAGTCACTATTTGATATAAAATTATACAGCGTGTCACCTCTCATCTAAATTTGGCCCACCCCCGGATACTGTAGGCACACTAAAATTATAAAGAACAGCTGCTTCACATGACAAGAGATGAGTCAACCCCTATGCAATAAAACAAGAATTGAACGGAAGACAAAAGTAACTGAATAACTTTTTCTCCCAAGAATTACATTTAGGATATACTAATTTTGTAACACGGTAGTTTTGTATGAGCAATAGAGTACATACTGACACAAAGATACATTGAAAACGGCTCAGGGAAGCTCGCCGCATTATATTTGACAAAATATTAGACTCCATATTTCATGACATTTCTAAATTATAGTGAGCATTTTGTTTTTACTTGGTAAGACAGACAGAGACTGATACCAAAAAAAACACTTTATTCTCATGAGTTATTATTCATGCACACAGCTCCACCTTAACCACACCACTAGTGGTCACTAACAAGCCTGGAAGTCCTTTAATCACTACACACTACAGTATGTGATCAGAACATGGCATATGGTGTTTGTCTGTCAGCGTGTGAACCGTGCCAGTCAGGCCACCACACAGCGGGGGTTCAACTGGGTATCGCACTAGGTAACTGCCTTCTCAACTACGTCCCAACTGTGCAGTTCACACTAAGTTAAATGACTTAGTGCTACTCAAGAGAAGATCAGCATGCTTACAGGTCAGGTGTGTTAATGAGAGGACCCGTTTTCCGCTGAGGCTGAGAAAGGCCAGGTGCAGGTGGGGAGTTATAAGGGCCAAAGGTAGCCATGTGGAGATGTTCTCTGAACAGTCCTAAAGGCCTAGGTCCTTTTCATCTACTACAAGCTGCTCTGCTGCACTGAGGCCTCAAACACAGGTAAGCAAGTTTCTCTGTCTTCCCTCAAGATTTAAACTTTGAAAATGTATGTGTATAATAACCAGAGATGAAAGTAAAGAGTAGCACGGACAGGATCTATAATTCAACCAATCTACTGTGCCAAGGAGCCTGGCATCCAGCCAAGAGGGATAGAGGAGCGGCGGGCCTGATAGAGCGCTCTGCCAATGTTGTAATGCCTGGCACAGGTGCATTGTTAAAGACACTGTTAAAATGATTCATTTTCAATCCAATAATCTGCAGTACACTATAAGATGTCCACAAAAGGTCTATATAGTTTCTAGATGACTGCTAAATATGTTTTTCACCTTGAAAATGGAGCTGAACTTTCAACCCGGGAGAATATCCATCACAAATGGGATTTAACTAATAACACTAATAACAATTCTGTAATCTTGGGAAAGATCCTTCCCACTCTTGAGCAGTGTAGCTGCTAAGCAGGACAGCACGGTGTGGACTGACCTTGAGGACACATTGACAGTATCCACAGTGATGATTTGGGGACAATCTATCCAGCTTGCAATAGATGGGGCTTTGATAAAATAAGGCTCACCTGGGGAGAAAAGTAAAGCAAAAAGTGTTGAAATAAAATCAATTTTCAATTTACTTCAATAGGAGCTGTGTACAAATAACATTAAACATGACCTTGGGTGGAAGATCTCTAAAATGCTGTATACAAACATCAAAAAGATCACATTAAACCTATCTGATTCTTTCAGGAATTTCACCCCAGTAAAGACTACCTGGGCTATCAAGATGTCATTTTTGCCCTCATCACTTTTCGTCTACTTAGGCTCACGCTAATTTGGAAGATTTAGAGATTTGATTCAAATATTGTCCAATGACTGTTCTGCAACCCTTCTTTAACCACAGCTTTTTATCCTGGCCTTTGAAAGAATCAATTGCTACACTGTCTGCTACCTTCAAAGCCCTTGTTATGAGCTGGGGTATTGCTGCGTGCCTTCTGTGTTGTCTCTGAGCTATTATGCGTTAAAAGCTATCTGGTGGAATTTCACAGGAACATTGCTGAAATATCTAGGTCTAAAATTCTTAAAAGAAAGTGGTCTTGTAATGCCTGTAAAATGAGTGTCACCAAGAAAGGTCTGATCAAATATGAGCATTACTTCATCCTTCAGCTTTCAACCATCTGGCCTCATGGTATTAAGTATTGATAAGTGGATTCAGTTCTACTCTTCGTCTTTCAAACCTAACATCGTAAAAATTTGATCAGATGTATACTATTTTATGTGCGGGCTTTTCGTTTTGTGCTCTCCCCAAGAGGTCTCCCTCCTATGGCCAGGGTACCATGGGCAGCGTCCATCCTGTTACTGCTGGTGCTCCACTCTCCTGGGGTGACCTCGGCTCCCACCCAGCACCTGTGTGGCTCCCACCTGGTGGACGCCCTCTACTTCGTATGTGGAGAACGGGGCTTTTTCTACAGTTCAAACCGACCCCACAAGCGGGATCTCGAACATCTGCTTGGTAAGGCCACAATAACTCCGTGAACAGTTTTGACTTCTTTGGTTTTAACTTGTGTAAAATAAGCTCTAATTGTTCCCTTGATGGTGGAAGTTCAGAAAGGAACAGCATGACATTGCCCCAAAACCCCAGGCTGACTTTGTCTCTTGGCAGACTCTGCCCACAACGTTCAAAGTTCAGACCTTCTCTAATGAGAATGCCAATTTGGATCCTAGCTGGAGGAAAGATATTTAGAGACAACATGCTGGAAACTTCCCTGAACTAAATCTATGAATTTGTCCAAACATTCATTAGTGTACAAAGCCTGTCTCCGGCCTCTTTTAAATTCATTGGTCTGGCCAGGCGTTTGGTTTCTTATTGTTGCTTTTAACATCAACATGATGTGACAAATCCAATAATCATCTTGTGAAATCCCCGAATTCCTCATTACGTTATTCCCAAAACGCATTACTTGGATCATCCACCTCAAACATTCTGTTGATGTTTTGAAGTTAACTTTAGGAGGTGTAAGCTTTATGCCCCTGTTGGAGCGCCATCATATCTCTCCTCTTGAAGTAGAGACTAACAAGACTAAATGGATTGGGGAGATCAGATTACCTACCCATTAAATCTCCATTAAAGTGTGAACAGTCTACATGGTAGTTTGAGGAACTGGAGGTTTGCACAGCAGCAGCAGAACTTAACACAGGGCTATGGAAACTTTCTCCACTTCAAAGGGATCCTGTCCAAAAGGGCCAGACAGGAGCAGCGGCTGTGGAGGGCTCTGTCTGGCCACGAAGAGCCCAAGGTGAAGAGAGGCATCGTGGAGCAGTGCTGCCATAAGCCATGCAGCATTTACCACCTGGAGGGATACTGCGACTGACTCTCCCCAACTAGCACCGTTCATAGCGAGTAAAAAGTCAATTTCTGGCCCAATGCTTACTGGCTATGTCTTATCAACTGAAGGAAATAAAGCTTCATGACCTATAACCCAGGGCTCCTCTCTGCAAAGATGTGAATTTGTGTTCTTTGTAGCCGGTATAGTGTGGATAAAACATGGGTTGTAATAGCATTTTGCTGTGGTCCAACCTGTGGCTGCAGTCCTACAGTGCTCTCTACTGGCTGAAGACAGACATGGCCATGAACCCCGGAGCAAAAAACAATCAATAGCTTTGTACATAGCATTTTATACTTGAAGTAAATAACCATCATTAACACTTTTGTGTTTTAAGAGCATTAAAATCTGTCTTTATTTACAGAAAAGAAAGATTTATAAAAGCTATTCCAGATGATACTGGTTCTGCTACAGTACAAATTACTAAGGAAGTTACAAGGATAAAATCTCCACACATTTAAAAACCTCACATTTATGCCAACTATGCTTTTGTGTTGGATTGTGTGTGCTTAAAGCGATCTATTTGTTCATTATTTTGACACACTGCTACTGTACAACACACAATCAATCTGCTCCTAACATTTCTTTAAAAACAAAAGACAGATAACACAAATTCTCACTGTCTACGTAACAATTTCACACATTAAAGGCTGTAAAATATCAGCATTTGGGAAATACAGTTAACACTTTTAAGAATGACAAATTAGCATCCAAGTAAGAGGTTAATTAAGTATACAAAAAACCAAACCAGAAAAATTAAATTTGGCAGCTAATTAGTTGTTAGTTCTTGTCTGGTGGAAGAGCTCCATCACGCATAACGATTTCCTGAAAACAAAAAACAAAAATTTAGGCTTCCACAAAAATATCTCAGCAACTGCATAAGGTCAAAATCATCATCAAAAGAAAATCCTGTAATTGTTCAGTTCTCATCACATCTTGCCATGTGTCCAAGGTTCTGCCCCTATATAGGTGCAGGGTGAGGTAGTTTGGCACTCACCCTCTTGAAGAGGTTCAGTTGTTTCTGTTTTCATATTCTCCTTATCGTGTTGGAATGCTTTGCTGGGATCAAACCTGCGGCGAGGAGCACCAGGGACTTTAGATTTCAGCTGCTCCAAATCACTCCTCTGCCGGTTTACCTGGGAACGAAGCTTAGACACCTCCTGCGCGCACACACACACACACACAAAAAAATATTTTATCTATCCATCTATCTCTATCTATATATCTATCTATATAGAGGATGAAGTACAGGCACTTGAGCTTGACACAAAAAGATAAAACATGTGGTTTAGAAAGCAGACGCCGCAGCTCTTGAGTATCACCTGTTTTAGGGAGATATTCTCATCTTTCAGCTTTATCACATGTTTGATCTTCTGCTTCTGGTTCTGGTGGCCCAGCAGACGAGCGTAAGCATCAGCCAACTTGTTTAACTCCTCCTGGTTTGATCCATTTTCATTGAGTAGTGCATTTCGCTCTGCTGCAAATGCATTGAGCTGTTCCTGTGGGCCCACACCAACATGAACATTGAGAGGGGTTTCACTCCTCCATGTATTTTAACTTCTACATGAATGAACATCTACATGAATTGATTGTTTTGGCCAGTAGGGGCAACGCAACAAGTTAAAAACAGTGACATACGGTTGGATATTATCTCATTTATATAGCAAATGTTACCATAAAAAAAAAAAATAATAATAATTTGCACATTTACACATCCAGCAGACACGGATTTCATTTGAAAGGGAAAAAGAAAAAAATCAGCTCTTCACTATGTTCACCAGTTAGTTGCTAACTTTGTCTATCTGGTAGTGGGCAGGTACTTCTACACTGGGTTTGTCAGAGCTTTTTTGCTGTTGAAAACAAGGTTGATGAGTGGCCTGTAAAACCAAAACTATGAGCCAAGACACAACAATGCTTCTTAATGCTGAGTAGAACTGCAGAGGCAGGTGCACTACAAGCAACACCTTTCACATGGTTATGTTTCCCACTGTTAACATAAAATATTGATTAGTGCAGCTTTAATGAAGGATGACCTGTTAATTTATTGCTGAGGAAATAACTAACCTGGAAGGGCCTGACTTTTGCAAACAGTTCCTCATATTGTTTCCTCCAGTGTTCTGTCTCTGACCTTGGGGAGCTTAGAAAAAAGGATGAGTAAACATTTGCAAATTGTTACAAAACTGAAAAAATCCTCCAAATTACACACACACACAAAAAATCCAATCTTGCTCACCTTTTCTCCTGTGCTTCAGTTATTTGTTTTTTGAGTTCTCGCCGCTCCTCCTCCATCTCCCACTGCAGTGTAACCTTTTCCTGAGTCAGTACTTCTACCTGCTCCTGTAGAACCTGTCTATCTTGTCGGTGTTCTTGCAGCTTGCGCTGCAGAGCCTGTGTCTTCTCCTCCATAAGGTCTAATTGGGCCTGGAAGCTCACACTCCCTTGTTCAACCTCATCCAGGCGAGACTGAAGCTGATTCCTGTCTTGCTCTGCCATGTTCAGTTGATTTCCAAGAGCAAGCATGGACTTGTGTTTGAGTTCCACTTGAGACAGAAGACTCTGTCTTTCCTCATCTACTCTCTCAAGCTCAGCCTGTAGTCTGAGCACCTCTGACCTGACCTGCTGGTGGTCTTTCCTTTCAACCTCCAATGCTCCCCTTTCCTCTTGAAGGGCCGTCTGAATTTTAACTTTATCTTCTCTTTCATGTTGGAGCTGTTCCATTAGTTCCTCTTTTTCCTGACAGACCTCCCTGAGCAGTTCCTGGGCTTTTTTATTCTCATTTTGGAGCTGAGTTACACTCTGACCTCCTAGTTGCCCCAGTGCCTCTTCCCTCTCCTTTGTCTGCAGCTGTAGCTCCTGCTGTAGCTGATTGATCAGAGCAGCATGCCTCGCCTCAGTGGCCTTCATCTCCTCATCTTTTTGTGCAAGGCGAGTCTGCACCTCCAGCAACACTCTATCAAGTCAAGAAAAAAGGGAATATAAAAAAGGTGGAAAAGACACAGGGCACAGACTGAACTTGAATTTGAAGCATACCTTGAATTCTCTTCCCTGGCTGTTGCTTCAGCTAACTCTCTCTTCTGGTGCTCCTCTAACTCCTCCTTCATTCTGTTGATCTCCTCTTTCTGTTGCACCACTTTGTTCATCTCCTCCTTCAACTGCTGGGTCACTCTCTCCACCTCTGCTTCTAGTGATTTCTGTCTTCCCTCTGCACCCTTCAGGGCCTCTCTGGCGCTGAAAAGTAAGACAAGCAGTCCAGGAACCTTACACACTGACAGACTTTTTAAGATAAACGCAAACACGAAGCAAACTCATATTCCAGGAATACAAAAAATACTGACGCTGGAGCACTCACCTTTCCAGCTCTGTCACAATGTCCGCCATCTTCCCCAGTAAGTTAGTGTGTGCCTCTTGGAGTTCTCTCATGGCTGCTAAATGCTCCTCTTTTAAAGCGGCCACATCATTGCTCTTACTAGTAATGACAAGCACACAGATTTGATGTGTTAACTGCCTTAAACAAAGAACTGATATAAATCAGAAGATTACCATTTTACATCCTTTTTATGCAGTACCTTCAAATAATAATTTTCTGAATATACCACATTTATGAAAAAAAATGCCACATCAATACAAAATCTTCCGTTTATGGTGAATTGCACAACAGAGCAATGCTTTTGTAAGCAGCGCAGAAACAATTAAGACATGAATCGATTGAGTGAAAATTAATGTGCAACTGTTTTAGTGAACATATACATAAATAATACATTTTATTTGAGGGCGCCTTCCATGACACTCAACACCGTACATCATAAAATACAACAAGCAGCAATAGTACATAGCATCAAAAACAGCATACTGGTTTCCAGCTTGTCAAGTGTGACAATGTGGCGCTTTGTTGGTTTGCTTTGTTTGTATGATCATAAACTGAATATCTTTGGGTTGTGGACTGCTGGTTGGACAAAACAATACATTTGATGGAGTCCTCTTGTGCTCTGAGAAATTGTGATACTACTGTGCATTTCAGACTAAACAATTAATCCAATAATCCAGAAAATAACTGAAAGAGTTGATGATAACTGAAAATGCAAGTTATCCATAACATTTTCTTTTCTGTCAACACTTCTCATCAGCATGCAAGGCCTTTGGTTGCTCACCTCTCCAACAGCGTCCTAGTAGCAGTCAGCTGTCTCCCTAGCTCGTTGTTTTCCTCCTGCAGCCTCTGGTGGGCATCCTGATTCCTCTCTGCCACCTCCTGCCTACTCTGCTCCTGATCCTCCAAGAGAGCGAGCTCTCCCAGCACCTCCTCCATCTCCTCCTTCAGCTTACTCAACCGCTCCTCAGACTCCTCCCTCTCGTGCTCCACCAGGACAGACAAGGAGTCCACCAGTGCCTGTAGAGGAAAGAGTCCGGTTACGGCTTTTGGCCGATTCTGCACTGACTTGAAACAGAATCTGCCATTTAGGAAAGAAACATCTGTGTAACCTTTTCCTTTGTCAGTTCCTCAATAAGAGTAGCATGTTCTTGCTCAAGCTGTAACAGTCTCTCTTTCTCATCTCTTTTAGCGTCCTTTAGCAAGACGAGCTCCGTCTTCAACTCCTCCACTCTCCTCAGCCCCTCCTCCTGAGTCTTGCCTAAGCACCACAAAATGTATACACAATACATGCATCACATAACCTTGAATGCATTTCTGCAATTTTTAATTAAAACTGTGACAGGATCTTGGCGAACACACTTCTCTCTTCCTCAGAGAACAGATAGCGCTGTTCAAGGTGTGCCACTCTCTCGTCCAGCTCCTTCTCAGTCCTTCTGAGCACCTCCCTTAGTCTAGCAAGCTCTGCCTCCTGCTGTCGAACTGTAGCTTGAGAGTCTTCAACTTCTTGGCTTGCCAAATTCATTTGCTCCTCCATGTCACTCATTGATTTTTGTGAAGACTTCAGCTCCAGCTCTGTGTTCTCCAGCCTCTTCTCCAATCCCAGTAATGCATCCTTTGATGCCTGCAGCTCTTGCTTGATTTTCTGCACCTCATCCTCTTTTTGTCTCAACACACCTTGAGTGGTTTCTAGCTCAGTCTCTAGTTGCCTGTGTAAAAGTGACAAATGAGTATTCGTGGTATACAGTTGAAATGTTTGGATGAACAGTTAGGCATTTGCTTACATGACTTTCTCCACCTGAGAACCAGCAACAGTGTTCTCCTGTGACTCCTCTTGGAGCTTCAAGCGGAGATCCTACAAAAATACAAACAGCTCAAGCACATGCACATCTTTCACAAAGTGACTTAAAGATCAAAGAGACGTCCACTTTTGTAAGCTTTGCTCTTATAAGCCTAGTTTATACCTGGATCTGGTCATTGGCTTCATCCAGGTATCCCTGCAAGACTCTTATCTCCTCTCTCAGCTCGTGTATCAAAGCTGGAAAATAACACAATTATGGGTGGTGGTATAAGGAGGCAAACCCGCAAACAGAAGCAGGAACACTGCTACCTGTAACCTGAGATGTTTATTTGTACACCACGAGCAATAGTACGGAAATACATAGATCTTAATGCGCGCAAGACATGCTGAGAAACCTGGGAACTAGTCTAGATATACAATTTTCTAGAAGTCGTGGGTAAACACAACTAAGTGTGTGTCAAAGAAAAAGCAAGACCTTCACAAAACTCACCATGCAGTTTAGCACGGTCCTTCTCCAGCTCTACGTTCTGGGCTTTGGTCTCTTGATGATGGTCCTCTGTTAAAAAAATATAAATAAATTAAAATCACAGTACAGCCCTGGTTACTTCATCATTGCTGTTCATAAAATGTTTGTCCTCTATATATGCAAGCATGTGTGTCTCACTAGTTGCACTATATGTTGATGTTAAATTGTACCCAAGTCTTTATTCCTGTCCTTTAGAGCAGAGACAGTAGCCCTGGCAGCTTGAAGGTCAGTTTCAAGCCCTTTCAGTTGGCCTTCCGTGTTAATCTGCAGGATACTTAACTCCTGAACAGACAAACAGACACACACTATACATAAGCATCAGCGTCTACTGCAGCTGAGAATCTCTGTAATGATGGATTTTACTAAAAAATAAAATGAAGTATTTGTACACAAGTCATACCTTGTTTTTAGTATCTATTGTGTTCCTGGCCTCCATCAACTCCATTGTCAGAGAATTGATTCTCTTTTTAGTAGTGTCAGCAGAAACCTAAAAAAAACAAAAAAACACATGTACTTTGTCACTTTTCATGAGAAATAAAATAAATTAAAAAAAAATAAAAAGACCCTAAGACACATCTTATCCAGAAGTAATCAAGACAGGATTTTTTAAATACAATGAAGCCTCAATATTAACATAAAAAAAAAACCCCCAAAAAACCAAGCACACCTTGTTTTTCAGAAACCCGTTAACTTTCTTCAGCTCAGCTTGCTGTCTTTCAAGGGTGGTGACACTGGCAGCAAGGCCTGTCTTCTCCCTGACTGCAGCCAGCAGTTTGGCCTCCACCTTCTTCAGCTCCTCTTCTACAGCCAGCAAGCGACGGTCCTGCTCCCCTCGCTGCTGAACCAGGGACCTTATCTGGAAGGAAACGAAGCTATGGTTATGACTTTGACATCCAAGATTTGATTTACCAGTTGCTCAGTTATGACTAAAGGCTGCTCCTTACAGAAAACTGAAAGATTTGTGTGGTAAACCTATAGCACAAATGTTAAGTGTACCTCTTTCTCCAAGAGTTTCTGCTGCTTCCTTTCCATGGTCATGCAATTCCTCTCTCTCTTTACACTTGACCCGTCAACCTAGGTTTAGCAAGACATAAAGAAGGTATAGGTTTATGACAGGAGCAGTTGTAGGACGAGCAGATCTGTTTTTGATGAGTCATCGTTATTACGTGTTGAAACGAAAGAAAACTTACGAGACCATCAACTGACAAAGTCCTGCGGACAGGTGACATCAGGGCATTTCTGGAGGGCGATGGTGGTGGTGGCAGAGCGGCTTGAGACAGACAATGAAAACAAAATAAGCTATGAACGTTATGTTAGATTTTGTTTGTTATTGATCTTTCTTTGTTGTGCTTCTCACACTTACACATACCTGCCTTAACAAGTCTGAATCGGTCAGACTTGTCGAAGGAAGCAGCTCCCTTCAGGTCCCCAGGTTTAATCTCATAGGTTCCCGGTGGAGGGGCACAGCCTTCGGCCAATAGCACAATGTTAGCCACGTTACAGATGCTACGTCTTTGTTAGCTTAAATACATAACCTACGTTAATTGTTTTGTTTTTACATGATTGCATTAACTTCAAATAACCTAGCACGATACAACAGGGATAAAGTGTCACTAGTTTGCTTAACAAATAATGCTACCTTTACCGTTAACTTACGTATGTCAGCTAACGTTAACATATTGCTACTTGGGTGGTTAATTTGCCAACATGCTCTTAGCTTTTGAACGTTACTCACCTACGTTCTCGTTGAACCTTTTCAAAGGGGCTCTTGAAAAAGACATTTTAATCCACTGTACGTAACTAATTTAAAATGTCCAACCGTATCAATAAGGCTGCAGTGCAGCGCTCGCTGACACACAACAACAAACGCTTCACCGCTGAAATTTAAAACATAACGTTTTACGTACGTTTACGTACGTAGCCAATAGGCATCCAGTCCTGGATGACGCAATCCCTACCTTCGCTTCCTCCATAGACTGTACATAAAAAGGCTTCCTCTAATATTTACATAAATTAAGAACCATGGATCAATAAAAAAAATAAAATAAAATTACAAAATTAAACATTATATTGAACCTTTATTTGGTTTAAAGAATAGTGAAACAGTTAAAATGTGTACAAATTTACATATTTTTCTTTAATACCTTTGTTGTTTGTTACATGATACCCCTTTGTTCTTTGTTTAAAGTTAGAGTATATGTCCTGTTCTATTATTTTGTTATTTTATGTACTTTTGTTTTGGTTAAAGATCATTGTAAGATAAAAATAAAATATTTTTGTAAACTATAAATTCATGTGTGGTAGTAATGGATGTACCTTGATAATACATCCATGGTGGTAGTATTATAAAATGTTTGTAGTATCTATACTATCCATCCATCAATTATCATTTAATTATTACTCACAATTATTATTATCACAATTTCATACTGTAACAGCATATGTGTCTAGATACATGTTTATTATGTTCCGACTATATGTTGAATTTTCATTATATCCAAGTATTACTAAAAATATAGTAAATCTGTGTTGGAATGCATAAAAAAAAATTAAAACAATTGTACAACCCTGTGTTGTAAAATAATAAATAAATCAACCTTCTACTTGTTTGGCCATATAGTTTTCATGGTTTTCTTAGTTGTGAACAGGTAATAACTAACTCAACATTACAAAGAAATACTAAGTCACGAGCCTACATTTAATCAATCAGACTCTATACTGACTTATGACATTCAGCCACTAACCAAACTCTGTGAAACCTTCTGGGTATTTAAAAAGAATCAGAAAATACCGTATTTAATTTAATTTATTAATTCAACTGTTCAGTTATATTTTCTGAAAAGTGTTTCTTTATACACTACAGTATTTCAAAACTTCCTCTACACTGCAAGGTATATTACTGGTGGAAAATACTAAATCCTTTGTATGTATATTTATTTATTTATTGGGCCTAAAAACAGTCTGCCTTAAAAAAAAAATAGTGTATTATATACATTTTTCTTAAACTCTCCATTATTAAATGGTCCTGTGTGCACATGGCAGTCTACAAACCTACCCAGCTAATTAAGTGAGTAAGGGGAAAGGCCATCTGTTTACAGCTTTAATACTCAGAGGGACGCACATAAGGTACAACCCACTGACAACAAACATCCTTCACACATAGTTTTTTCAGTTAAACATTTTTTATTTCATGGAAATACAACATAATTTCTAATCCTTTGCAGGACCATTGTTGTACATCTTATACTCTTTTTCTCCATTTTTTTTGTACTTCAAAACATGGTCACTTGTACAACAATATCATAAACAAAGCCTCATGTCACAAATGGAGCCATTGATGACAATAAATTACACTTGCCATGCTAAGGTTTTGAGATGATACATTGGTACCTTCATTTTTACTAGATTAACCTTTAAATGAACAATACATCGGAGTTGAATAAATATGATAAAAAGACACTGGAGTTACAAAAGAAACTTTGTTCATTCAAAATGGAGCAGAAAAAGATTACAGGGCTGTTTGGGGAGGGTTATTTCTTAATAATTCTTTATATAAAAGAAAATAGGGACAAATTTTGCATATTTTGATAACACTACTAAATCTAAAGCAAAAGTCCAACAATAGTAAATACTGACTATATTTAGGAAACTGCCCTTTAATCATAACTAACATTTTAGTTATGATTTTCTTTCCTTTATGTTCAGACTATTCCGTAGGTCTGCTAGACCAACATCATCCATTCACACTCAAAACAGGTTAATCTAGTACAGCACTGCCTTTACACAACCTAGAGGTATTTTCTAATCTTGTTTCTTTTGTTATTGTTTTTTCTTTAATTTTGAAAAAGCAAACACATTTACCCAGATAAAGATGTGTCTTTTCCCAAATTGTAAATAATATCGCTGTATTCATGTACAGAATATAAAACTCTTTCCAACAGACAAAAGAGAGAAAACAAATACGGTTCATGAGGTTTCCAGCCAGTAGTAGAGATGCAAGTATACCAAGGATGTGTAACTTAAAATATTAATAATTAAAAACAAGAACAATTACAACACGCAACACTTCACTTAGTTCAACAGTGAAATTTACAGTGGAACTGGTGCCGAATAAAAATGTGGTTCCGGAGGAAGCAAAAAGAAAAAAAAGAAAAAACCCAGATGTGGTTAGATAAATAAAAGCAAAATCAAGAATGCAATGTACCTGCATTCCTTTGAAAGCAAGCAGGTGAAGAAAAAGCTATGATAGAGACTATGTACCATGAGCTGACCAGATTATCATACAAGTGAGTGAAGAAATGTATCACGATAAACAGGTTTGGGTCATAATAGAGGACACGCACGATGGTAGCACAGGTGTACTGGTGCCTGTGCTCGTACTGTTAGTAGCTGTAGTAGCACTTAAGAGCACCATTTTTCACTTAAAAGATATTTATATAACTTAGAAAATTAGTTATTTTGTTGCATTATTTAGTATTTTATTTAAACCTTGTTAGATTTACTTTTGTCTCAGCTCTTGATTGCAAATTCTGAAAGGCGTTTTGGAGTCCCAACGGCTGTGACTTCAAATGAGTGGCTTCAGATTATAGAATAAAGATACTCTTTTGGCATTTGTGTCGGTGGTCCAATCCACAGATGTGCAGCGGAAGGAATAAGAGAAGGCATGCATGAGTCTGAGTGAGAGCCACACAGGTAGTAAAATAAAGAAACGGTGTGACTATACACTTCCACCTCTGGCCTGGTCCACTTCTAAGGGGTTAATGCTTTGAGAATTCAAAGACAGACACATTTTAGAGAGAGGAACAGTTTGAGAGGATTTTGTCTTTGGATTCTTAAAGCCAGCGTGGAGCCATCGTGGTAATCTACAAGACCAGGAAGAGGCAGAAATTAGTATCACAGCTATGTGTGTTTGAGTGTGTGTGTGTGTGTGTGTGTGTGTTTGTGTGCACTATGTGTGAAGGGTCTTTCTCAACAGGTGGTAGCCAGGGATTGGTGTATAGGAGGCTGGAAACAGCGAACGTGCTCCACAGTGGAACTGTCCGTCTCCACTGCCTTCATGTACTTGTTGAGGATGGCAAAGATCTCATTGTTGAGAATCTGGTACTTCCTAATGCGGTCTGCCATCTTCTTCAGGGGCTGTCAAGGAAAAGCAAATAGAAAAGGAATAAGTCAGACAATAGTGAGCAGTGTGTTTATGCGTATGAGTAAATGTAGTGGATCAAGTATACTCACCACATTTTTGATGATCTCATCCTTGCCGTCCTGTCTTTGGACTTTGAGCAGATGGTAGCAGAAGTCAAAGAGGTCAAAGCGACGCTGCTGTCCCAGCAGCACAATGATGGCACAGCCGGCCCAGTTCAGCCCATCCCCAAAGCACTGCCTAGAAGGCAAAAGCACGTATAACACACAAATTATGTTTCCATTAAATGAGGCGCAAGTCTCAAACAAAATCAAGAAATTACAGCAAAATAAAATGCAATTCAGTGCACATTTACATCAACAACTACTTTTATGCAAATATATTCCAGAAGATGTGACAAGTAACAGTGACTTGTCTCTTCTGATCCAAATATACCGTGGTGTATTTATCAGCTGCTATGGTGACAGAAGGAAAATGCAAAAGTGCTCTTTGTCTGGACTTAAACCTAAGTGTGGTCAGCTATCTCACTGCAGTAGAGCCATTTCATGAGCGGCAGCAAGCTATGAATGCTTTGTCTACAGCACACAGACCAGAAGTAGATACTGCAACATTATCTGCAACATTAACACATCTGTACCGAAAAAGTCTGTTTCCCTTAAGCTGTATCACATCTTCTCTTTATACACATGCAAACAAACTTCACTTCAGCCACAAGTAAAAACTTTCACATTTTTGCCCAGTTCTGGTGATTTCAATGAATAAAAAGCTCAAGCATTCAAAACAAAAATAAAAGACAACAAACACAACTGTGGGTAAAATATTACCCAGCATTTGCAGTCTATATTTGCAAACTATCACCCAATTTAAATGTCTGTGGGCCCTATTTTAACGATCTTAGCACAGGTCGTGAAGCGTGTGGCGCAGTTGTGTTTGGGGCGTGTCCAACTCCAATTTTGCTAGTTTAATGGCCGAAAAAAAATGGTTCAAAAGAGTTTTACTTAGTCCATTCCCTTTAAAAGCCAGGTGCGATTGTAGCTTGGCGCATTGCTATTGCAATGGCGGATGAATTGCACATTATTAAAACAATTAATTGACTGATCGAATTGCAGACTCACAGCAGAGAGGGGGATTTGGATAGAAGTGTGGACATGATATAAAAACTGTCTGTGATCATGAAGCCTAATGTTACTGTGGTGTTAGTGTCGGAACTCCAGTCTGTAAACAGATAGATGCTGTCTCCTCCATTAAACGTCATGAGTTAACTGTAGATCCTGACTCATCCTGTCGACGTATCAGGAGATTTTAATTATCAATGAAGTTACACTGCTGTGCCCTGTGCGTAAATGCGCACAGCGTTTCTCTTACCATCTGAGTAATGCGCCACTAAAATAACAACAGTGAATAACAGTGAAGACCTGTTTTTTTGGTCCATTGTGCAATCTAACTAGCAATGACACCTGAGCTGCGCTTTGCGTTGCTTTGCGCCGGGTGCAAGATAGCGCCCTAAGACTTTCTAAGATCATGATTGGCTGCATGTGTGGTGGATAACTGAAAAAAAAAACCAACACTGCAAGCTCACTCCTACAGTACACACATCAGCCGGATGCCACTTACTCTGCTGTGAACTCGTGTGTGCCCACAGGGATGCAGTAGACAAACTGCATGGCACTCCACAGGCGGTGGAACTCCATACACTCGTCAACATGCATCACACCGTTGGTGGGCGGGGGCCCGCGCCACACCCCGTCCTGCAGGAAACTGCGGATGCGCGTCAGGATGACTTCGAACATGGAAAGGCCGCAGCAAAGACGCTCTTTGGTCAGCAGGTCCCCCTCACGGGCAATGGCAATTTGCTGGTAAAAAGCAGCCACGATACTTTATTATTATTAGTTCTAAAATATTAAGGAAGAAAAGTGTTTAATCAAGTAGTAGATATACAGAATACACTATGAAGTAGCAGAAACAAAGGACCACATTTGTCCTCATCTGTCCGGTTTTATGCGTGTCCGCTAAAGACAGAACGGTGCTGAACTCACCTGTGGGGTTCCCAACCTCTCAATTAGAGGTACAAGGTGGAGAGGGGCGTACTTTGCCTCCAGCCTTTTCATCCTCACCTCCAGACGCTCTCCCTCTGTGGAACACAATCATAAGGAGGGACATGTACATACTGTACAAAAATGACACAAACCAATGGCCACTGGACTGGACTTGTTTTTTTTTTACCCATCTGCCTTTATTTTACTGCCTGTAACCCTCCTGTATACCTTTAATGTAGACTCTGGGCAGAATGTTCTGGAAAGGGGCGGCATGAAGCAGGTCACACACTTCCTCCTGCGACTACGATTCAAGCACATCACAAGACAGGGTCATTTTAATTCAAAGAACACCACCTACTTTTGCTTTATGGGCAACCTTACAGAGCATGCAGGTGGCAATAAGATGATGTTAATTTTAAAAAGAACCTGCCCACTACTTCCAGCTGAATATAGTACATACATAGTCTCAAAATCAATTAAGCAGACAGAGATTTAACTAAGAACAATACCTCTAAAAGCATATTTTAAAACACATAAAGTTAGAAAAAAAAAACTGCCCTGAGCTTTTATACTATGGCAGTATACTGATGGATTATTCAACACCATCTACAGCTTATGCAGAGGAGGAGATAAGACAAGTGAATGAGCATGTCTGTGTGTATCATGAGGCTATTCTTATTAAGACAGGTCAATATTAGCAGGATTATAATTTGTCACACTCTAAATCCAAAATCCCATCTAATCTGGTTTAGCAGCAAAAGGTCAAGTTTATAACCATCTTAATAGACTCTCATCCTTCTGGGTAAAATGTCAGTGTGTTAGTGGTATTTTAGCTAAGTGAAGTAGTGCTGACAGAGTCACTTGTCCAGCTAATTCAGTAGGAGGTCGTCGCGGTGATTGTTAGTCAAAACAACAAGCTATAAATCAAACTAAATGCAACTTGAAGCAGCATCTTGAAACTAACGTTTGATGAATGAGAAAAGACAGCCATGCAATTAGAAACACAAACACACATGCACACCCCTACAGGCAGTCCAAACAAACATACGCACAAACACGCACACACACACACACACACAAACACACAGGTTAGTGCAGTCAGACAGAAATGGTAGAACGAGTGAGAGCTGAGTAGTGTTATGTAGACAGAGGCATGACAGGAGTATGGAGGAAGAAGTGCAGAGTTAAGCACAAGGCTGTACCAACAACCAACCAGAAATGTACTATCACCTCTTCCATGGAAGACAGGGACATAAGGAGTATATAATACAGCACCCAAATGTGTCTCTTGTTCTTTTTTTATCTTTATTAAACTGTCCTGATCAAATATGATTTCAAATACGCATCATTTCTTTAGGCTTTTGTTTCAAAAATTCCCCATTTAATTCCTAGTAAATTAAAAAGACACTAAAGTTCTTAGTCCTTTTGCTTCCATGGCTGATTGGAGGTGAAACCCTGCGTGCCAAAACAACGTGGTGAAAAAAAAAACCCAAAGAATTAACAGAAACACAGCAGCCCAAACCAACAAGAGATATAAGAGAAAAGGCATTCAGTCTCTTGTGTTATTTTGATACCAATGACAAAACCTAAATCCTTACCACCTGTGGTTGATGCCAGCGTGTAATGAAAAATAGAGTTGTATTTCAGCAAATAACAAAACAAAAAAACAACACAGATCAATCATACTTGGGGGCACATAGACCGGGGCGCCTGACTGTTTCTGTTAAATTAGGATGTGAATCAACATCGTAAATTGGGCAGAAACCGTCAGGCTCCCAGCTTTATTGGTCACCCACACAAAAACATTGCAGTCAAGAACAGCGACACATTAGCTGTCCCACACAGAGGGAATTAACAGTGGAAAGTTTGAGAAAAACACTGGAATAAGGGGAGACAACTACTGTGGCAAGAAAATACAGAAATAAACACAAGATGTCAAAAATAAGAGGGAGACAGGGACAGGGGTATAATATAATATAGGATGATTATACAACAGTTTGAAAAAAACAACAGTTTGAAGGGGAAATTGAAATTTGTAAAGGAATTGTCCTACCAGAGCTTGCTCAATGAGCAGGCAGAAGAGGATGGCATTTCCCACCTCCCTTAAGCTCTGGAAGACATCTGTCTTCAGCTCAGCATACTCAATGATATCTTTGAGCTGATGGTGAAAGAACTCCAGAATACCTAGGATGGCAGAAATGAAAAAAAAAAAAAAACAGTCATGATACCTCCCCAAATCCACATAGAAAATCTATTAACGAACCACCTTTTTATTCCTACAGTCAAACATACAGCCAAGCAGTAAGCGCCCTCTAATGCCTCATCATGTCATTGATAATCTATTGCTACCGGGATGAAATCAGGATGATGTCAGCGGATCTGCTCGGCCACCCTGACCCACATTTGGTCCGAGCATCAGGCCCTCACAGCAGAGGACGGGAGGATCAGTAACTGCTGACAGAAGATCACAGGCAGTAAGCCAGGTAGAGAACTCAGGGTACAGAACATCAGTAATCTACAGATTACTAAGCCCTCCTCATAGGGATATCCCATCTGACTGGCCTTTAATCTGCACACACCGCCCGGGCCAAAATGCACGGATGCCGGTGAGGAAATGCACAAAAATGCAAGGTAAGTAGGTACAAAGGTAAAGCATCTTTTATGCTTTAAAAAGTGACAGTTATGTATGCCTGATTGACAATTTAAAGCATGTCTGATCCTTTTCAGTGGTAATTACATTATTTTTTTCCTGTATTATATGTTGAAAAATAGATCATGTGTTTCCAAGCTCTGGCCGCACTCTAAAAGGCAGCATATGCATAGTACAGTAGAGTGGTGTTTAAAGGTTCAGTGTGTAAGATTTAGTGGCATCTAGCGCTGAGGTTGCAAATTGCAATCATCTGTCCAGAATACCACTGCCACCTACCCTTTCAAAGAGCGTAGGACAGCTACTGCGGTTGCACCACAGTCCAATATAAACCACATAATAGAGAACATTTTCAAAGGCATTTTACAACATTACTTCTCTCTGTGATTATGGACCCTCACCAAAACTGCCCACCAGCAATATTAATCTGGCCCGTGGCCAGACTATGGAGCAAAAAATTTAAATCATGAAATACTATGATAGTGTTGCTGAAATAGATCTCAGTTATCACAGCAACAGTTACTCACATAATCACTTCCTCTTTAGTTGTTTTTGCCTACAAAATAAAAGCATGAGACGTTTTCTGTAATGCTTGATTTGGACTGAGCTTTTAATTTGAAAAATTCCAAATGAGATTAAAAGAGTCTGTAGCCTGTTTGACACACCTCTGAACGAGCCTTCAGAAAACGTGATTCCTCTAAATGTCCTCTGCCTGGAGATACTCGGGAATTAATAAAGCGTCCGTAGGTTGATGGATGAAGATCAAACACCAAAACACACACACACACACACACACACACACACACACACACACACACAGCAGTACACGCCATAATGTGAGCATGAGAAACGCTGCATAATCTATTTGTTGAAGAGAGAAAAAAGAAAATTGTCCCAAGGAGGGATCGAACATGCAACCTTGTGTACGAAGTCTAATATTACATCTTATATTCTCACCCATGACCTAATGGTTAAAAAGATTGCTCCAATACAAAGCTTATTTGCAGACCCTGCTGTTTATTAATTCTTCTTCTTCAACAACATAGTAATGAGTGTCTACACTGCCTGAATTCTACAAGACCTAGAACAAGAAGAACGCAGTGACGAAATGCGCTCTGTAGCGCTGTTTGTCTGTTTCAGCTACTGTAGAAACATGACGACACAACGTGGCGACATCCATGGAAGGGGGGACCCGCGGTTATGTAGATATAAATGGCTCATTCAAAGGTAATAAAAACACAACGGTTTATTATGAAATGTCTTTATACACCACTGAAAACATAGTTATGGATCTTATATTGCATTTCTGTCAATAGATCCTCAGAAGAGATTACACTGTGGTGTCCGAACAATAATGCTGCGATGATGTGTTGAGAGGAAATCCACTTGACACTGTTCTTGATCATAAAAGTTTATTACATCAAGGAGTTCAGCATCAATTACAAGCTCTGCAGCAGCTTGGAGAGTGACCCAGCCCGATGGCCACTCTGTCTCTCTGTACATCAAACACAGCTTATATAGGATATGTTTAGGTATCTGTTAGGTACCAAGGGGTTAGAGGTCAAAGTCTATAGAAGGGTTCAGTCCCTACATAACCACCAATCACTGCTCTCCCCGTAGAAGGTCACTGACCCTCTGTCCTGCTGCTACAGTGCTATTTTGAACTGTTATGTGTCAAATGCACAAATATTGGATACTACAACACACTGGACCTTTAAAAAGTGAATGGAACCGCTTTGAAGTGTATTGAAAATAAAACATAAAAATTGCCCGTTACCATTTATTTGACTCAAGTGGGGTTCAGTTTCCGGGTAAATTTGGGAATGCATTTCTGTGCATCTTTGTTTATGTGCTTGTGTAAGATAACACTAAAATATGTCAATCTTAAGCAGGTTTCTCAAGTCTCACACATTCACCGTTCAGCCAGTTCACACGCTCACACGCCACACCTTGTATTTCTCACGCTGAGAAGTAAGTTAATCATAAAGATATCTGTAATTTTACAGCATTTAAGGGCACTTTCCTCCTTTTCTCTTTCTGCTGTGCATTTTCTCTCCACACTCTCGACCACACACACTCACGCACTGACTGAACGCTGTGTTAATGTGTGTGTGTGTGCGAGATCCAGTCGCGTGTGATGACAGAGATCATCAGATTAAGAGATAACGTCCTCGAAGTTGCCCCACTATATTCATTTAATAGATCAATCATTTTTGTGCTGAGATCATATCTTTCTCTGTAGCCTATTGAATGCCAGAGCCGTTAAGTCGATCAGAAATTAAAATGTGTTGTTTCCGGGTAAATTCCGTGATCCTTGTGATTGCGGTCCTGAAACTGCAGCCTCTGGTACTGCAGCTACATACTACTCAGCGCTAGACCCGATGAATGCGGTATAACTGTAGTTTTATTTTTTAACATTTTGATTTTACGATTCGTGACTAAATCACTTGCCTGTGATCAAAAATAGTGAGTGTGGCTGATGTAGGAGAGTGAAGCCAAATGTGTGCAAAAGTATTATTGAAAATGCAGTCAAAAATTCTGCAACCTCTTTGCAATCTGCAGCTTTGGCTTTTTTAGCCAGTGGTGAGCAAAGTAACTTAGGATCCTTTAAAAAATAAAAGTACCAATACCTCACTGTAAGTACTGCACTGAAAAAGTTTAATAAAAGTATGTAAGTAGGCTATAAGCAGGAGAATGTAGAAGTAGCCTATTAGAGTTTATTAGAGTTTATTTGAGTTAGTCCTCCCCTTTTGTACCATGCCACCATGAAGGAGTGTTCTCAGTGTGAAGTGAGGGGAAAGGGTTAAAAACAAAAATCTAAATAACAAGAATAAGAGTTTACAGTGACACCCACTACGTGGGACTGTCCTTAAGCGCAGCAGCGCTTTGAGCTTAATGCTAACATAAGCACGCTGCTTACATTTCTAATGCTAACATGCTGACGTTAAGCAGGTATAATATAAGTTATACATGCTAACATTGCTACGTAGCACAAAGCACAAAACAGAGGCTGATAGGACTGTCATTAGTCGTTGAGATATTTCAGTCTGAACCAAAATGGCGGGCTGAGCGACACACAAACAACGTCATGCTAGCATGGCTAAAAATCAGCAGCTCACAAGGAATTTTGAACACATCCTGCTCTCTTAATTTAACACGTTTCTTACTGAACACACAAAAAATTTCAAAACACATTCATTGCCATTGGGAGAAATTTGGGGTTAAGTATCTTGCCCAAGGGTACTTTGACATGCAGACTGAGAGAGCCAGGGATTGAACCATCACCCTTCTGATAAGGGGACAAGCGCATTACCCCCTAAGCCACAGCTGTATTGTACTTGTATTCACCTGGAATGAACCTGTAAGCTGAAAGGCATGAAAGGACTGTCCGAATTACTGACAGTTTGCATCGTCTTCTCACTAAATTTCACATACGCTTTGTTAACCGTAAACGACCCTGTCAGTTCCTGACCTGGGTGGCCAGGTTTCGGGTTATTTGCTATTTTAACAAATCAATTTTCAGTAAAGCGGTTATTGCTAGGTTTTGTTTAATACAGAAATGAGTAACTTTCTAAGTTTTAACTGAAGCAAAGCAGTTTGTGAAGTGGTTTCCCCTTATTGTTGTGGGGAAAGAGTAAAAACATCTTCAACCAACCAGATTAATGCGATCATATTAATTAGTGAAGTGACAACATGACCGGTGCAACCACACAAATCAACTTAGCAATTCTCAGTAACAGACTATGGTGAATTCACTATTTTCAAAATGTCCGTCACACTTCTATGCATCTAAAAGTATAACTTATCACAGCTTAAATGGCACGGAAATCTGTGCCATAAATTCTACAGACATAATCCCCCCTCTATTCACTTTATTCACCAGTGGGGAATGTATGCTTACCTGGGGAGCCATACTCATGGCGCGGTAGGCGGCAGATCTTGGGCATGACTTCTATCAGTGTTTTTACGTACTGCAGTATGGTGCCCTGTAACTGCAAAGAGACAAGGAAGACGGATAGAACACAGTAGGCAAGGGGAAGAGAGGGCACAAAGGAATAAATTTTAGGAAGGCAGCACACTGAGGGAAGGAGGCACGTTTTTAGGGATGCAACAGAAGATGAAGATAAATACCAGGCTCTTGACAATCTTAAGCAGCTCCTCCATCACCACAGCAATGCCTTGGTAACCAAGGAGACGGCAGATGGTCTTGAAGTGGGGCGGGCCAACAAAGTTTCTGTAGGAGCTGTAGATGTGGGAGTAGGCAATGTTCAGGGGCTGAGAAGAGAGGAAGCCACAGAGAAACAGTGTTAATCTGGAACAGTAGGAAGACGGGTTTCCTTTACACATCCTGCTTCAAGATTTTAGGTTTCTTCACCGTAATATAAAACACAAGTCATCAGCTGGCACCATACCTTGGACCCATACAGGTAGTAAGGCTGCACGTTGGCTGGCTTGTCTCTTTGAGGCTCCTGGGTGAAGGGGATGGCTGTGCGTACAAAGCTGGAGAGAAAATGATGTTTAAAACCAAAAGGAGAAAAAAAAAAAAAAAAAAACTATACAAAAATGTATTTCTACAAACATACGCCGGCAAACTGACCGGTTTGTGGATCCATTGTAGCAGTAGTTGGGGAGGAAATCGAAGTTGAGCTCCCAGAAGACGTGGAGCGTGATTCGCCCGTAGGGAGCCGACACGTTGTGGTTGGCCTCACGGAACATGGCGTCGAAGCTGTCCAGGGTCATGTGCTTGGACAGGAGCCGGTGGGTGAGTCTGTTGATTTCCAGCAGCCACTCCAGCTCCTGTCACGGAGGCATACAGAAATTGCGGGGAGGAGGTTGATTTAGGATATGAAGGAGAATGCTCGGTTTTGCTATTGTGTGTATTAATGTACTGTTAGTTTTGGAGTGTGGTGTGTGATCTGACCACTATGGAAGTGAGGTCCTCGCTCTCGAAGCGGCTGATGGCGTGGTCCAGGGACTTGTACATCGCTGCCGAGATCCTCTGGGTGATCAGGCGGTTCAGGTCAATAGAGCGACCCAGCAGCTGCATGACACAGGAGGAATGGCTGAGAAATGCAGTGTCTCACACAAATAAGAGTGCAACAAAACATATTCCATAAAGGCCAAAATGAGAAGTAGAACAGAAATAATGACACCCTAGATGAGCCCTGATGAGGACCGCTTTCATGTTTCCAGTACCTGTACGTGTCTCTGTTTGAGCAGCGTCTCGTAGCGGTTTGATGGAGGGTAAGGGATGATCACGCCATAGTTTTTACACTCCGCCCTGAAGCGCTTGTCTAGGAGGACACTGTGAACCACACGGCATGCGATTTAGTAGATGAGGTTTGCAGAGACTGCTGCAAATCCTGCCAATAACTCCAAATGTATAATGAGGGAGTGACTTCTCCTACCTTCCAGCCATTGCTTTGTAGTAGGCAAATATCTGATCGGCTAACTTGTAGACAAACTGGTCAAAGCAGAGGTTTACCTAAGAAGAAAAACACTATGAAGGCACTGTTTTTAAGCAGCAACACTGGGGTCTAAATGAGACTAATTCAAGTGACGGCCCTAAGTCCTTACCTCTGCCTCGATTTCATCATAGAGGAACTGTTTCTTGAACTTTGTGAGAGCATAGTAGCCGCTGTCATTATACAAGTCTAGAGGATACAGCACATATCTGGAGGAGGGAGGGTTGGAGTTATAATAAAGTCTCAATGCACAAACACAATCTCGAGCATGTTCACTGGATGTTTTGCCTTACTCCATCATGGAGGGCTCCTTGGTTTCCAGGATGTGGTCGGTGAGGATCCAGGGCATAGACATCTCAATGGGGAACTGGATCCTGCGGCCCATCGTCAGCTCCAGGAAGAACTCTCTGAACCACAGTTGGGAGAGGTCACAGCACTGCTGCAGGGCCTCTGAACAGTGGAAAGACACACGCAGGGAGCAGAAGAGGAAGGAATTACTTCAAAAGTCTTGCAATTCATTTAAAAACACGTCAGGTCATTTTAAGAAGCTTGGCCTCGATGTGTTCTGAATGTTTTTGTTTTTTTTCAAGATCTATGCTGAGAGTTTCTACTCACCACTGAAGTTGAGCAGGTGCGTGAAGAAGAAGGATTGTTTGTGGAAGTCTTCTATGGCCACCACTATGGGTCCATCCAGACTGCTGCGTAGAGTCTTCTTAGAGCCACTCTTATCTGCTATCAGTGATTCCAGCATGGTGCGCACCATGTACAGCTGCAGAGGGAAGTCAAAGTTAAACATATAAAAAGTGAAAAACCTTCCATTACTCACTGAAAGTTTTAAGAGACAAATGAAATAAACCATTATTTATCATTTGCCACCAGATTATTAAATACAACTGCAATTTTCTGATTTTACTTAGAAGCATGGGGTTGACTGAAGAGAAAAACAATTGCACTATTTTGGAAAGAAAAGGAATGGGGGAAATATTTTGAACCTTCACAATTAACACCTTGCTCAAAGATGTCCAACATATAACAAGCCATTTAGCTGTAGTAGAGAGAGTCCAGAGCGAAACACTTCAGCAGCCACAAAACTCTCTAACAGCTTCATTCTTTCTCTCGTTTCCTAACCCTTCCTTCCTGTCCAGTCCTGGTGTCGACATGATGCAAATAGGAGAGCGTTGCCTAGTTACACTGTCCGCTGTAACTCACTCTGCTCTCACACCGCCTGTCGAATGACGAGTCTCATCTGACAAAAAACGAGTGTCTAAAGTCAGAAGAAGTGTGGTACATAAGACAAATTTTGGGGAAGTAAAATTTTAACCAGTTTCGAAGATTGCTCTAAAGTTTGAACTTAATTACTTTGTTTTGGTCAGAGACAAAAGTATTTCATCTTCTTTCCCCAGTCACCCTTGTTGGAGCAAATATGGGTTTTTGAATTTTTTTTTTTGGTGAAGTCATTTGGGCATTTGCACTTTAGGCAAGTAAGAAACAATATGGCCATGATCCCTCACAGGTGTTGAGTTTAAATGGCCGAAGGCACAACAATCCTTATAAAGCGAACAATACTGCAAGATAAAGATAATTCATAAAGTAAAGCAATTCATTTACCACAGCGTCAGGTGGATAGGTAAACCGCTACACTTTAGGAATTTGCTACAACCCATTTCTGTCCCGTGTCTCACCTGTGTGCTGGAGGGTCCTACAGCCCTGCGGGGCACTTTAATATCAAAACCCCCTTTTGGGTCCTTCTCTCCCCTCAGACAGGGGTCATTTGGAGGTTCCCTCGCCCCTTCCCAGTCACAGACGGTCTTTCGAATGGCCTGAAGAACGCTACAGACAAACAACACAGGATTATACTGTACATACCTTAAGTCTTAAGAGCAATAAGTTCAGGTTCAATAGGCAGCTTCAATGCACGTTTGATCCAATCATCAATGTGGCGTGTGTACCTGATGAGGACGTTCTTCTTTTTGCGTACAGCCTGGCGCAGAGGCTCTCGAAGGGTCATCTGGGCAAAGTCCTGCAGCGCTGCGTAGATGGTATTCCTGATAGCCTGGTTAAACACCGACTCCATTCGGCCCATCAGAACCTACACAGTTCATTACACAGCGCCATGATCATCATTGTCATCTTGGTCATAAGAACTACTGATCATCAAATTGCTATTAAAGGAGTAATTTGACATTATGGGAAACACACTTGTATTCTCATTCGCATTTCGCTTTTGATGAGTTAGATGAGAAGCCTAATACCACTCTCATGTCTGTCAATAAAAACTGCCTTCCATACATGTTTTAAGACATTTAAAAATATTTGGCTCTGCATAACAATTTAAAAAAAAAAACATACTTCTTATACATTCACATTCCTATATTACAGTAACTTCTTCTTCCTCACTGAATAATCCAAAATCCAAGAATAGATAGAGTCAGGCTAACCTTTTCTCCCTGTTTCAGTCTTTATGCTAAGCTAAGCTAAGCTATCAGGCTTCTGTGAGTGGTAGCTTTGACAGATATCACGGATATCTGAGTGGTATTGATTTTCTTATCCAACTCTCAGCAAGAAAGTAAATAAGTGTCTTTCCCAAAACGTCAAACGTTTCGTTTAAGCTCAACAACGGATGACATCAAAACTGTTTCTTCATTTTTGCTAAAATTTTCTGACTAAATAAGTTGCTTATCTGCATCCATTCATATACTGTATGTGGTTTACCTGCAGCCCCTTAATCATGGCAATGACTTCCACCAGGGCAAATTTCTCCTCACTGGTGTAATTGTAACGCGTGGCCCGTTCATACTCCTCCGCTGTGCCTGGGCAGTCCTTGTTACAGAATTTATCTGTGGGATGCACCAGCTTCCACGAGTACTGAAAGAGATGAAAAGCACTATAAATAGATCAAAGCTACTACGATCAATGGCAAAAACCACAAACATTTTAATACCTCAACCCACACACACTGTCTGCTGCACAAACGTTTTTTCCCCGCCCACCCACACACACACACACACACACACACACACACAATCAATCCCTCGCTTTTACTCACAACTTCCATGACGTGCGTGCTCCACTTGGACAGCAGCTGCAGACCCCTCAGAGCGAGGTCGAACAGCTCTCGATACTCCTCGTCGGACTTCTGGCTGTCCAGGCCCGAGCCCGTCACCACCTCGCTGTTGCTGTAGCGCGCCAGCTCCGAGATGAAACGGATGTGGTCCTCCCTGATCTGCACCATCTGCTCACACAGGTTGTACTGCGGCGAGATGCTGCTCTGGGTGCACGTCCACCTGTGCACAAAATGGAGAAGATGGAGGATTGGACGGGAGCAGATGGTGCACAGGTTAAGAGCATATCTGTAATTTAGATGGCCAGACAGGTCCACTCACTTGGACTTGTTTTCTTCGTAGTGAGCACTTGTCTCGATGTAGCGCGACAACTCTATCTGCATGTCTCCGAAGAGCGGCACGACTTGAAGCTGAACAACACAGGGGAGAACAGCTCACACTGACGTCACGCACGCAACTACAACCCTGGATAAAAGAGATGCTGAAAAAGCAAAAGCCTTACTTTGAAGAACTTGTCTATCTTGCTCAGGTTGATCCTCTTTTTGGCATCTAGTTTGTAGATATTACTCACGTTCCCATCCATCAGGTACAGACCAAAGCCCATCACCTGACACACAAAGAGAGAAGGGGGGTTTGTTTTACATCAGCAAAAAGGACGTTTAGCCAACTAAAGATCAGACGGTTAGCGGTTATACACTGGCAGCAGATGAAGATGTCAAAATAGGTGTTTACCTTAAGCAGCATGTGTTTCTCACTGGGTGTCAAATACATCTTGTTCTCATAATAGTCTACACAGATGTTGACAATGTCTGCCAAAAGTTCCTCGTAGCCTGGAATCACCTCTAACTGTTGGTGCAGGCACTATGTGGAAACAGAGATGGGACAACAGGTCACCTTCAGATAAATTCATTTACAGGCAAATGCCAGAAAGGGCTCATGCTACACTGCATATAGACACACATATACATAGCTAAGTATCAACATTAACAATACGACACAAATACTTTGAAATTCAAGAAGTTCATCTTTAATGCAATCAGAAAAAAAGCGAAATGACAATGTTTTTTTCGTTATGTTTCAAATTGGCTTTTACTGGGCCAGTCACTTCACCAAGTGCAAATGTGTCATTCATCCGCTCACTTTATCTATGAGTCATTTCCTGGAGTATTAGGTTAGAGGATTACTGTAATTCTGTGTTATTACAGACTCAACATTTAGATCAAAAGGTCTTTTGGGCTTTATAATTTTATTTAATTTTTTTACAAAAATACACTGAAAGAAAACCCAGCCTTGAATCACCTTACAACTGCGGCACAGCGTGTAAAAAGTCTAGTTCATTCAAAAAGTCAATCTTCCATTGACTGTGTCCTCACATAGTTACACTGTTTTTGTTTGGGTTTTTTTGTTTGTTTTTTTTTGACACCACACGGAGTAAAGACAGCCCAGACTCCGCACACCAACCTGAGTGATCCTGTTGTGATTGGCTAAAAACATAGAGAGGTTCTGGGACTCCTGGATGGACTGAGGGTCGGCCATCTTCCTCAAGAACTGAGCTGCCCTGGAGGCAGAGGAGGAGAGACATGGTAACCCGGCACTGACGAAGCTATTCCACAATGTTGACCATAAGGATTCCTTTACTTAGGGTTCTCTACCTTTTGTAGGCAGAGTGATCATTCTTAACGCTACACTTCATGTTCTTCAGCTCGTCCAGCACTGCAAACATGTTAATAAATTTGCCCAGAGTGAGCAGGTATGCCTCAGACACAAAGTCCTTCCTTCTCTCAGCGTGACACAGACGCTTCACTTCACTACAGAAACGTTCTATGGCTTTCCGCTGTAAAGACAAAGAAATCAGTTTATATGAAATTGTTTATTGTCAAGAATACATGGGACACCTAACATGCAAACTCTGAAATCGATATAAGTTTCGCCTGAAATGGCTCTCAAACATTTCAGGTTCCGCCACTGGAAGGCAGTCTTACCTGGAAGTACATGAACTTCATGAGCTTGGTCACTTCTGGTTCTAACACCTCCACCGTTTTCTCATAGATCTCCACTCTGTTGGGCTGCTCATTGCATTTCACCTACCAAACACAAGATGGAGCCATCACACAGCCTGATTTTGCAGCAGCACTCCAGTTTAATTCAGCTGGTTCATGCAACATTACAGTTTGTTTGCATGTAAACTACAAATCAATTTTTTCCCCACCACCAAGGATTCCCATTTCCATGTATGTATAAGCTGTAATTGTCCAATTTGGGGAAATTATATATTGCAATATATACTACTTACATGTTTTCCAAATCAATGACTAGATTAGAACTCAATATATTTCCAAAAAAGGGGGATCTCTGATTAATTTGAACTCTTAGACTAGTCAAAACAAGTAAATGCAGAGCAGAGGCAAAACGCTGAGAGATGAGCTACCTATTCGGTGGCCGAATGACAGTGGGTTTGGGTAAGAGAACAGCCACATTGCATGTTCAACAACCTCTACTGTAGTTACACAGCTCTGTGAGGTTTTTCCTGTGTTTTTCGCTCCTCAACCAGGTGCCAAGTGAACTTGCAGGCTGAACGCACCAGTTGACAAACACAGAAATTCAAGTCACAGACGTTTTTATTTTACAGAGAAATTGCAGTTCTGATCGCTTTAATACTAGCGTCTCAGTCTGCTTAACAAGATTGGAAGGAAAGGAAAATTCGACAAGGATGCGATAAAAGTAAGAGATGAGGTATCATATTAAGTCAAATTGTGTGTGTGTTTGTGTTACCTGGGGAATGGCTCTGGAGCAGCTTCTCCAAGTGTAAAGCATCACAGCATACTCATGTCCTTCCTCCAGCATCTCATTCTGCACAAAGAGTCAAAATACAAAAAAATATAAAGCAAATATAAAACTGACAAAACCCTTGAGTGGATCCCTTAATTGCTTGTAACTCTTGTTTGTCTCACATGTGTATGTTATAAATGGAAATTCTTGCAAAGGCACTTGACAACACAAATATTAGAGGATAATTATAAGATATAATATATCTCAGACAAGTCACACATTCCAGGGTGAATTAGGCGTGCTAAATATTTTAGTGGGGAAACATTTCTTCCATTCAGAAGTAGGTGAGACAGAGACAGACTGAGACAGATTGGTCCTCAAATAGACCAGCTTCAACCTCAGTGGGACTTCCTGATTAAACAAGGTTAAATAAAGTTCTACTTCCCCTCTTTGCCAGTCAAATCACACTCTCCATTCATTCACCATCAGGGGAAAGAGGTTTTCTGGTCTATTGCCTGCCTGATTCACCACAGTGTGAGTGAAGTGTGTGTGTGCGTGTGTATGTGTGTGTCCTGCCACAGGCCTAGCCAAATCCAAACAAAAGAGCCGAATGATAATCAATTCACGAAAAACAAGGATCTCTTTAAGGGCGTGAGGGTGCTTCCCACAGCCTGCTTTGTTTTTACTGAAAGGGGAACAGCAACTATTTAAATATAGACATATCTCACCATGCTGGAGTGGACTGTAGCTTGCTCTATATAACGGGCGATGCCAGTCACAAATGCATTCCTGTCTTCAAAGTTGGTGTCAAAATTAGCCTGCAGAAGGAGGGAGAAAGGAGTCAGAGGGGTATATTGAAAATGTCTGAACAATTGGGGACAATGGTGGATGGCGGTGACAGTGTGTGTGTGTGTGTGTGTGAGAGACTGCGTACCTGGTACATGATAGAGGAGGGAGGGGGTTCGATGCATGGCTGCTGGTCAGGGAGGGGTAGCTCCTCCAGCAGGTCCACATTGGACAGAGCATCCTCCAGGGTCACGTGGGTCGTCATGGTAACAAGGTGTCACTCACACAACACCCCAGTCTGACAGAAATAGAGAAAGAGAGAGCAAAGTTATCAGAACAGGACGCAGAAAAATCTCCATTACAGAAAGATGTGAATTGGTACTGTATATGCAACAAGGACGCTTGAACCTCGGGGGTTATTCTGTAGTTGCCAGTGTTAGTGGAGAGATTGTGTAGTACGGTAGATTAGAAAATACTGTTTGGTTAGACACATTTATCCACATATTGAGTCGGAATAGCTGCACACTATGTGCTTCAACTACTAATACAAAGTAATGGATTACTAAGTAAAAAACAGGTGAAGTAGTTAGCAAAAAGTAATGAGGAAATGGTTGAAATAGTAAGCTTAAAGGTTCAGTGTGTAAGTTTTAGTGGCATCTAGTGGTGAGGTTTGCAAATTGGAACCAGCAGCTCATGGTGCATTCACATGCTCCTCGGATGGTCCCACTTCCAGAGTTGTGAAGTCGTTCTTCTACTTCTACTTCAGTGTGTATTCATGTGCTCATAAGTAAGAATCAACATGGAATGTGGAATCAACATGGACGCTACGACAAAGACGTGTTGGATTAGCATTATCAGAACGTACAAACAACACACAGACACCTAGTTCACTCTACATCGACAACAAACTAACCGTTATCACCATTTTACAAATTACGTTTGTAAAATATGTATATGCAATACATGATTCTGCACCAATTGCAGTTCTGTATGCTTCTTTATGTCCCATGTACACTTTATTTTTCTTTTAAAAAATAAGGTTTTAAGGAAGAAAAAGAGATTCTGATTATTCCCGACACCACATCAATGCAATCAGGCACCGCTCACCCTTCTCTTTCCACGCATGTAGGAGAAGCTACGATTGTCGACACGCTCTGTCGGCCCTTGTGCTAAATAATACGTGTGTTCCTCTATTTGTCCAAAATTCACTTCTCTTATTACTTCTAATAAACCAGAGGACTACTAATAACATTACTTGTTGTTCTGCTTCTTCTTCATATGTATCCAATGTAGTGACGAAACTTGCCCTCTAGCCGTTTCTCCGTTTCAGTTATGGCGGCGCAACATGACAACGTCCATGTAAGAGGACCCGCAGTGTATGTAGATAGAAATGGCTCATTCTAAAGTAATAAAAACATAATGGTTCATTATGTAAGGTCTTTTCCCCCCACCACTGAAAACATAGTTATATATGTTACGTTGCATTTCTGTCACTATACCCTTCTAAATTTTACACTCTTGAACCTTTAAAGTAATGAAAAATTGTTGAAATAGTTATCTAAAAGTAATAAGAAAATCAACAGATCAAATAAATGAGAAAAAGTGACGTCAAAATTGAATAAATAATATGGTCATGTGATGTTTCTTTTTCTTGACATGTCTAGACAATTCCACTTCCTCTTATGAAAATTAGTGCAGCATATCTGTGTGTTCAACTGTAACCTCTCCCATTTTACTATATTTCAAAACTAGACTGAAGCTGTGAGGAAGTAAAGGGCAGAGCCCACTCACTGTTTCCTTTCTACCTTTTTATTTGACTAGAGGCATATGTAAAGCGTATAATTCTTGAAATGCCTAGACCTGGAAATCTCATTGATCTGAGAGAGGCAGAGAGCATTCTGGCAGTGAATGACATTTGACAGGCCTCCAACGGATGTGTATCATTATCTTTCAAAACAACTGGCAAATGCATTTTTTTCACAGACACTTAAGACAAGCTGTTTTTTTGTGTTTCAATCAATCACAATTAATATTGGGTGGTGTATATAAACACAGAATGTACATGCAGCTAATGCGTACTCACGCATTTTTGCATTTTTCTCCTACGGGGGATCAATAAAGGAACATCTAATCTAATCTTATCTCAAGGCTTCACAGCTATCATGACAGTACTCCATCTGATCTGTCCTTGGAATAAATCGCTAGACCCCCTTGAAACAGACTAGCCATTTCAGTGCCCTCTTCCTCATTATAAAACACCTGCCCAGCCAAAGCAGTGTGTGTGTGACCCACCCGTATGTCATGTGCCTCTAAGAAATATGCCTTTTATGTCTGACCTGGCAGACAGGGCTGATAATCAGCTTAATATTCACAGCCAGAGAGAGCACAGAGAACTGGGAGGGCCAGGGGCCAAACAGCAAATAGAAAAGAGGCAGGTAAAATAAAACACGGCTGTCTCTCTTCTCCTTGCCAGTAACTGAAGGTAAAGCATTTTGCATCGAGTTGTAAAATTGTTACAGGGGTATGGTCATTTTATATTTAACACAGATAAAGTCAGGTTATGGGATCTTATATAGTCAAACAGCCTTTCATTTTCCCTGAAAGTCAGTCACAGACTAATGAATGAACAGACAGGTGAGCCTGCCTACTTCCATTGTAATACACAAGACAAGTGGCCGTCACCACATCTAAGTGTAAAAGCAGCAACATGTTGACAAATAATAATAATAATAACCAACGATATTATTTCTTCCTTTGGATGAGGGACGAAATGTCTTCCAGTATCTTCAACCAATTCCAGTTGCCCTTGACTTTAACCTTCGTTGGATAACTATGACCTGGATGACTGAGAATCTTCATAGACAATAATAATAATAATAATAATAATAATGTGAAAGAAATATAATTATTTACTTCAAATTAAAGATCATGTTTCTATTTGTAACTTTAATGACACATATAGACACTGTAGATGCAAACATCAGCCCGAAAGTTAGTTATTACCATGTGGCCCGCTACGGTGTAACTCTGGGGTCTTTGGCTTGTAGAGAAGAAAGACCAATTACATTGATTTCTGGCTAACTTTGGTGTATTTTAACTTGTATGTTAACTCCAATTGCTGCCTATTTTTGATGAAAAGTTACTTGGAGAATAGAGTTCAGTTTTTAACCCCACAACAACACATGCCTACATCTTTTATTCACTGAGACATGTCGCGCATGCAAACTAACATGATTTGGGTGGAGTTTCCTGTCAGATTGTCACACAGCAGTCAACGTTAACATACACTAAGGTTATATTTGCACGAGGTAAATCACCAGCCTCAAGGCCAAACTCAGACAAGTGAGTCATCAAACTTGTAACGCTACTTAGTGAGTGACAAAATTATCTAGAGTTCATTTGGAGGTTTACTGGATTCCTATGCCAAATATATGTTGTTCTATATCCTTTTCTGCCATTAAATGTATAGTTCATATTGGTGACGTTATTTTTTATTTTTCATTGTAGCATACAAGACCACTGACATGCGGGGAGTTGTAGTCCTTTGCAGAAACATTTGATTTCTGCTCAATAGTCTGAGTAACACTGAAGATGTGACTAATCTGAATATACTGCCATTATGAAAATTAATTACGTAAAAGGCCCGCAGGTCTGATAAGATATTGGTGTGTACTGATGAAGGCCCTGTGCTGCTGTAACCTAGTAATGTTTAAATAAAAGGAGACAGTTGTTTCTTGTATGCTTTCTTCTGCTGTGACTTCACAACCTTGGACTCAGACATTGTCTCGTTCTTCGAAGAACCAGTTGGTTATTTTTAACCATCCAGCTTATAGAAAATGAAACACGCAGCTTGCTGCTAGGGCTTTTGTCAGACAGACAAACATGCTCAGTGTCACTAAACTCCCATCTGTCCTTGGGAATACAGACGCAGACTGAAGCCTGGGTTTGCTGAATAAACTTTCCCACCCTATACCGACTCCTTTCAACAGTTGGCGTGTCTGTCTGTGTGTGCCTGTGCATCTTTACGAAGCAAAGGGCCCCTTCATTCCCTTCTGGACATTTGGTAACCTAGCTGTAGGCCTGTTTGCACACCGCAACGACTAAGTGAGACCACACAAGACAACTTTTTTTTTTTTGTAAGAAATCCCACACAGTAGTTGGATTCTCTGGAAGATTAAACACAGAACATCAATGACATGCATGGCAAAATCCCCCCCTGGCCAACCTGCCATTATAACTAAAGCAAGAGCTTGGGGTCAGATATACTCATGACAGCATGGTTTACCATGAGAATACAAGGGTTTTTGAGGAAGTGCTCAAAATATCACAGCTAAAAAGAAGAATGAGGCACAGTGGGAAAAGTATAAAAATAGCAAAAAGCAGCATTAGCACAGATGATTTGTAGAAAAAAAATCATGACCAGTGTGTGCAGCTAGGCGTTTGTGTGATACATCTTGCCTGAGAGAAAGACAGGGAGCGAGAAAAAGTGTGTCAACTCGTGGGTCACAACACTCAATGGGATCCCCCCCCCCCCAAGGCTAGCTTTGTAATGTATATTCAACCTCACAATAAGATAAGAGCCGATCGGCGTGGAAGACAGGCATTTAAACGTGCACATACACATGATCACTTACAACGCATTCCCTTACAAACATGCACACACACACACAGAAGTCAAGCAGCATCTGCGCAGGACTATAGTGTGTCATCATGTGCAGGACGCTGGCTGGCTGGTTGAGGTATTTGACAGGCTGATTGTCATTTCAGAGACCAGCCCCGCAAAAACTGCTGTTGTCTCATGATCCCCTGGATGTCACGCTCTCCTTTTAAACCAACAACAATGAACATCACATGAATATGTAATGGTGGTGGACACATAAGCCTGGCTCATGTGACCGAGCTTGACATGTATGAGGAGGATAAACAAAAAACCTAAAGCAACATCATCTGCCATTAGGAGAATGTAAATAAGGGGGGGGGGGGTCCACATCCAAACTGAGGGTTTAAGGAAGGAAGGCGTCATATGCTGTACAGATTTTAAAGCACTTTAAGACAAATGTGTGATTTGGGGCTATATTATTAAACTGGACGTGACAAGAAAGTAGTGGAATATTATGGTTAGGACTGCAACTAACGACTATTTCCATTGTCGATTAATCTGACAATTATATTCTGGATTCATAGATTGGTTGTTTGGTCCAGAAAATGCCAGGAAATTGTGATAAATGTCGATCAGTGTTTCCCAAAAGCCCAACATGAAATCCTCAAATGTCTTGTTTTGTCCCTAACCCAAATATATTCAGTTTACTGTCATAGAGGAGTAAAGAAACCAAAAAATAAATTAATAAAATCACATTTAAGAAGCTGGAATCAGAGAATCCCCCCCCCCCCCCTTAAAATTTTTTTTTTTTAAATCACTCAAACCAATTAATGGACCATCAAGATAGTTGGCGACTCACTGAACAGTTTACAACTCAACGATAAATTGTTGCAGCTGTAATTATGGTGCTTATTTCATTTAGTATGGAGCAGTATTAGCAGCAGCAAAGCATCCACAGCTTCGTCATTACATCACTGCTTGTTGGTGAGGGGCTGGCATACAGATTTACAACTCAGAGAGTCTGCAACAGCAGCATATTCTGATTGCTTAACTCTGTGTCACTGGGTGGATGCATAATGACCACAGAATCGAAAAAGGTATCCGGCGGAGAGTTCAGCATAAAAGCGAACAGCAGTGTTTAGACATTTGTGCAAAACGGAAGTAGGTGAACCTGTCATTTGTGCATCTGTGCGTCTCTAACAGGCCTGAAAAGAAAAAAAAAAAAAGAGAGGCTATAATGGTGTGGTTCTCGCTTGCTCACATTTCCATGCTGTGCCCTGTCGGCAGGATGGGTCAAGGCGGCGGTACAAGAGAGAAAAAAGCCACACACACACACACACAAAAAAAACAACAAAATGATGAAAGAGCAAAGCGGCGACGTGAAATCGAGCCAGCTGGATCCTCAAACCCGCTCTCCTCCCGTATCACACCGCACATCTCCTCTCTCTGTACGGCGAAAAACGCTGTTATCAGGTCAGAGAATCGCCCAGCTCTTCGCGATCCATCTTTCATCAGCGTGCACTTGCTACACAGGAACCCTCTCCTCACCCCACCCATCTCTCAGTGTGAGCTACGACGCCGATGCAAAGCTAACGGGGATCCCATTCATGTCTCAGAATAATCCGCGGAAACCGGGACGCTCAATCCCGGGCTCACGGGACGTTTTTCTCAGCGATCAACCTATTAATGAGGTTGTTTGTGCCTGGACAGATAAGTAACGGGAAGGGGACGCACGGTGCGAGGAGGATCATGAAGAGAAAGAGAAAGAGAGAGGGGAGAAAACACCTCTCCAGTCTCCAGCCATCATCACTATCCAGCGCACATCCCCAGCGCTGCGGCTCCATCCACCGCTACGTTTGCCACATACCTGTAAATTGCATGTCCGTCCGGCGATACACGAAGACGAGCGGACGGTGTCGCGGTCTGCGACGGCGGTCCAACGTTTGCTGATCTTTTTTTTCCCCCCCTCGTCTTCTGTGCCGATTGATGCTCTAGTTTCGCCCAGTACCTACCCAGTGCTAATCCACCCCACACAAAGAGCAGAAAATGGCTGCAAGTGCATTCTCTTAAAGGGGCAGGCGCAGCGGAGTGATGGGCGATGATGACATGTTGATTCTTTTTTTAATCTGAGCTTTTATTTGTACTTTTTATTTTCAACTTCACCCGTGGAGAATAGACCCCGACTTTTCACACTTCAAATGTGTTCACATTAAAAGTAGTACTGTTGTGTAGAGTGTGTGCGTGGGACTAGGGGAAGGGGGGTGATCGAGTGAACCTTGATACTTGGCATGAAGCAGACCATAGGACATCGTCCTGTAAAGAGAGAGAGAAAATAGACTGTGCTCTGTGCTATATATTATCGCCATTGGGATTGTCGTGTATCATTGGTGCTCATGATGGTGGAGTAGCCTATTGTTTTGTTTGTTAGGCTATATGTGATTTCTAAAGATAGGCCTACATGTTAGAGACAATAGGCCTACAATTTTAATGTACACAAAGATTTTACTGATGAGACAGGACAAAATCAAATAATAGTCATCTCAGACCCCTGGTGGGCCAATTTTAATTGATCCTACAGTATAAATTGTGTAATATGTTGTTTTTTTTTCAAATGTGTGAAATAAATGTATAATGCATAATGATATGTATCCATTGTAGGCCCACATACTCAAGTATCATTATTAAACTGTTATCATTGATGGTTAAATGACTGGCTAGATTACTGACATGGCATGGCTGCATAGATGTAGGCTGCTTAACATTCAAGGCCCAGATGTCTGAAATTAAATGTGCTCATCCAAACCACAAGTAAGTCTTAAAACATCTGTGCCTATAATTCATGAGCTTTATTCTACTGCTATGGCGCCACTTTCCATAGGCCTATACGTGAAAATAGGCTCTATAGAATAGTCATTTCGATGTGTTTCATACTCAGGAAAGTTTAATAACTCATTTTTTTCATCTTGTGATGGATATTAAGATCCACCTTTGACCTGGTACTTGTGAGTGTTTGGTGCAAGTGTCTTTCTGGCCCAGAGAGCACAGCCTGACCTGTAGTTCTATCTTTGGCCACTACTTCCTGCAGAGCAGAACGCCATGGTCGACTGACTGACTGACTGCCTGATTGAACAGAGACTGATCGTTCACCTGTTATGTTGTGAACTCACTCACTACATTGGTGCCAGCACTGATAGCCTTTTATTCACTTTTTTGTGACCACACTAAACTGCATTTTTGTAGTAACTTTGAATAAAACTGTGCAGTATTTAGCCATATTTTGGCAAAACTGTGATCTTCTGGAGCATACATACAGTAGACTACTGAGCATACAGTTGAACAGCAGGGACGTGAATTATGTTGCAGCAGTGATTTGAACAGTTTCTATGGACATTTGAAAACACCATTGGAATTGATTGCAAGTGACCTGAATTCAAGTTTGCTATAGGTAGGGTACTATTCTCCGTGAAGAAGCAAACAAGCTGTTTACAGCTTTGGCAAGTTGTATTTTAAGTCCTAATATTTACATCCAACACTCTGTGGCAACAATCGAGAACCTTTTTTTTTCCTGAACCTACTTTTGTTAACAAGCTGCCCCTGGAGTAGAGCTGAAAATATAGACAACTTATGAGGGGGAAAAAACATTTATTGAAAGGATTAATTTAATTAGCAGTGGGTTAAACAACATAATCATCTCACATGTTCAGTGTACAGAGACCCTCTAGACTATTTGAAACCTTAACATAAGCCTGCTGTGAGCAGCGGTAGCTGTGTAAATGGACTGTGTGAGCCTGCTCAAGCATAGACTGTACACAGAGGAGAGAAACAGATAAAGTGCAAAATCTATGAATTTGAAACTCTCTTGTGTTTTGTAATCATTTTACTCAAAACAACTTTACAGACATTTGAACAACACTTGACAAGCAACTGGTAAATACATCAATAAATAAATAAATAGAGCTATTTTTTATACTTAGCAACCTCAAATCTTATCTTGGTTCACAGGTCTGAGAGGGAGGCCAGCTCATGCAAGAGGAGAGCAAAGGACGGACGATCTTCAGGTTTCTGAGAATGAATAAAAAAAGCATTACTACAAAGAGCTGTGCATGTCAGCAGTTCTTCTACTTGGAATAAGTTCTTGTGCCCACCTCCTTCCAGCACCACTCCATGAGCTGGTGGACAGCGTCTGGGGCCAGGCGTGGCTTCAGGAGCCGCAGGCCTGAGTTCAGGGACTCCACCACCTCAACATTTGAGCGATTCTCGTAAGGAAGACGGCCCTCATTATACACCTCCCACATGAGCACGCCTGAGCAGGGGTGAACGGCAAGACTCAGATTGTTACAGAGCAAACACACATACAGAGAGACTGACTGTTGGTCAGTTAAACCATTCAAGTGAGGAGGACAAACCAAAATCAATTCTGGTGTCTCTGGTTAATCATTTTCATATTGGTGGTTGTTCCATGTTATCTCTTTTGCATATGTTTTGAATGATAATGACAGGCATCATCCAAAGAAAGAGGAGTGACTGTTGATTCAATTATAAACGGCTAATAAGATTATTGTTATTTTTGTAGCAAATTTTTACACATGCTGTATAACCTCCAGAGCTGTCACTTACAGTTTAGTATTAACGTTTTTAAATATTCACAGCTTCATAAGTTGTAATTAAACACATTTATTTCAACACAAAAACCTGCACCAGTTGGATACAAGCAAGTCCTAACTTCTGAACACAGCATGTTGTCCCAGGGAACTGTCCAAATGCTGCTGCCTGTTTTGGCGATGGTCCTAACAGTGTTAACTTCTTCCAAAAACTATTTCTGCAAATCCACTAGATGGCATTGCATCATGAAAAGGGCTACCAGTGGTTAACAGCCATTGGCATAAATACACACACACGTAATGAATAAATCAATTAAATATATCAAATTTTAAAGGCCCAATGCCTTTACACTGCCGTTAATTTTTCTTCAGATCTTATAAAAATGCACGCCTTAAAAATTGCTTCTGTAACTCCTGGGTTTTCCACAACATTATTTTCAACACAATCTTTTGCTTTGTGTGCTTGGCATAAAATGTGTCCCGAGACCCTCACTGGAAAATTGCACCAAGTCATTGTGGTCTTGTTGAGCTTCTGCTTTAGTTCACTGTAGCGAAGAAACTTAGAATAAGTGTGCTATCAGGGAAGCATGGGTGATTTTGATGTGTAGTCAGCCAGTCGACGAAAGTGTTTTCCTGTGAAAGCTGTAGATGGGATCTGAAAATTTCATGAATGGTTAACACAGAGACAAAGGAGGGATGTGTTATGGCTACAAGGACAGGAAGTCAGACACGAACAAAAGGCACAGGGACAGGCAGATGAACGCACCGAATGACCAGATGTCGGACTTGCTGCTGAACTTGCAGTATTTGATGACCTCTGGGGCCGACCACTTGACAGGGAACTTGGAACACTGGGAGCTTGTGTACTGATCATCAAGCACATATCTACAGTGCAGAGAGCGGACACACAGCATTACACAGCAGTTTAACTATAGTAAAGCCATAATAAATAATGTTATGAGTTGCACACAACATGGTGGGCAGTAAAGAATACTGTTTGTAGACATACCTGGTCATACCAAAGTCAGATATCTTCACCTCATCGTTCTTTGAGACCAGACAATTCCTGGCAGCCTGCAAAAAAAGAGGAAGGTTTAACTATAACAGTGCGGAGGTTCACAAGCATATCGTAAAAAGCTCTCGTTTCTTGGTTTTACCAGATCTCTGTGGATGAAGTTGGAGCTCTCCAGGTAAGCCATCCCCTCACTGACATCCAGACACATCCCCAACATTGTGTCCTGAGACAGGCGTCCTTTCCTGGCTTGTAGATAGTCCGACAGACAGCCGTTCTCCATGAACTCAGACACCAGACACATGGGAGAACGCTGGGTGCACACACCATAGAGCTGAACTAGCTTATTATGGGACAATCTCCTGTTAAAACACAAACACACAGACACACACAGACACACACAGACACGTAAGCTGGTTCATTTTGCCTGAACGACATGAGGCAACTTTGTGGATGGCACTTACATCATGACTCTCGCCTCTTCTTTAAATTCCTCGTCTGACATGCACTCTTCTCTTATCATCTTCACGGCCACCTTCCTCTGCCTCCATCTCCCTTCCAGCACCAGCCCAAACTGGCCGCTGCCTAACTCCTCACCCAAGATCAGCTCCTCGGGGTCCACCTCCCACTGATCTGTCAGGCAGCAAACATACGGTGAACAACAGCACTGTTATTCTTCTTCAGTTAATAACCACAGAGACAGGTCATATTAGAGAATGAAGACCACTTTATTGAAACTAGAGGTCAGCAAAAACAAGATTTTCAGCATTAAGTTAGGCAAATTACACAACAGTATGTCCTCCAACCTTTTGAGGGGTCAACAGTGTCCCGGGAGCGGCCTCCGTCTTGGGAGATAGGGTGTCTCAAACGCGTTATCAGGCCTGTCACACAGAGAACACACGGATATATGGATGCATATTTACAAAGCATCTCAGAGCAACACATTCTTTTGCCTTTTGCTTCAACATTTTTGAAGCATGAGCTGTTTTTTCAGGTGAACTTCCATTTGGCCTCTGAAGTTATTCATAATATTACTGTTGCATGCGGAAAAGCCCCACACTTACCAGCAGCATTGTGTTGATGGTAATGGATGAGCTCTGGAATGGTGCTGAACAGGTATTTCTCTGCCAGGTAAAATTTGGCCTCTCCCTTTTCTGTTTGTCTGATCTGGTAATGTTTCACTCTTGGATTCTTCTCCCCGTTAGACCTAAAACGTAAATAAAGAGATTCGTTTACGTAGCAAAGGGAGCTTTTTGAGTGTGAAATAATCACAGTAAATTCTAATATACAGTATAAGATTTCAAATCAGGTTGATTGTAATTACTCACCAGGCGTGCCAAGCTGTTACTTATCCTTTCAGCTTATCATCATATATCACTATTTGTAACAGTTTAATACGTAAGAAGGAAGTATAAATACCCCGGTGCTTTGGTGAAGACCGACACTGTGTAGACACCCGCCTGTCTCGAGTCACGCACCATGAATGCACCTTCTTTCCCCTAAAAGCAGAGTAGTGCAACAACATAAAATCATCAAAATTCAATAATACACCTGTAATACACATTAGACATGGTTACTAATTTTTTGTTTAACCTGCAGCTAATACCAGCACCGGCCCGGTAGTCATGTTGTGGAATAGATGATGGACAGCTGTTCCACCTTCCGCTTGCAAAACTTAGCAAAGCAATTCACAGCAGGAAATTCAACATTGGAGGAAACTTTGTGGTTATGAGACATTTTTCATGTCCCATGTTACGTCAGAATCTTGTTGCACAGGTGCATTTGCATTATTTTTTGCAAATGCATGATTTCTGTGAGCTGGCTCAGTCACAACACAAAGTGCAGTGCTTCGTACAGGAGCAACACCTGCTAATTATCATCAGAATTATTATTTGGAGCATTTTTACCCCGTCAAAACACAGCTGGAGGCGTAAATAAATAAAGTGAATAATTAGTGCATCTTTAAACACTGATATTGGTTTTACCTCTTTCATCAGCAAGTCTTCTGCATCCCCTCTGGTTATATTTTTATTGTACCATCTGTGAGAAGACAAATAAATTAATTCTACAGTGGATTTGCAGATATCCACATGTTACCAGTTAGAAGCACAAAAAAGAAAAATGAAATCAAACTCACTTAAATCTCCCGTAGTTGTTGCCAGATTTTTCAGCTACGTAAATACTGGGTACAAACCCCTTGTTCCTGATGAAGCATTGGGAATAGATATTCATTAATAAGAGACTCATTATAATCCTCACAATAAAAAAAAAGTGCAATTAAATTCTATGAAACTTGTTACTAAGACTGGGGTGGGCATTTATGTGCCTTACCCCTTGTCATCCTCTACGGTCCACCAGTCAGAGTTGGAGCTGTTAATGAGGTTATACTCCTGGTCTTTGTGAAGAGGCAAGTCGTCGTCTCCGTCCGGCTTGTAGTCTTGCAGAGCGATGACCATCCTCTGTCCTGCATCGTGTGGCCCTATCTGGCAGAGAAAATGTTCTGTTTTAGCAACATATTTTTGTGAGGAGAGCAATTACTGTGCAATACTTTTATAAACACAAAATGCCCTTTTTTACTTTACACATCTTCTTTTAAAAAGAAACGCAGCAGACAAAACAGAAATGGACAAGCTTCATCACAACGCCATTTGGGTTATATTAGATTGAACAATGCACATATTATGTTTTACAACAAGTATCAAATTGTCAGCTATAGAGAAGGCCTAGCAATCATGTGATTTGAGCAAGACAAGATAACGAACCGAGATGCAAAGATGCAAAACAATCATCTGTGCTCAAACCACAAGAGCATTGCTTAAAAGAAAATGTACAATTATTAACAACATCAAGCGGAGCAGAATGACAACTTCATTCCAAATTAATAATATCTCAACAGCAGGTTTTTTATACTTTAGAAAGTAGTACCTCTGGATCCGGGAGTTGAGGAAGTGGCTTTTTAGAAGCTGTGGAGATAATTAGAAAAATTGTACAAACTATAAATTTTATACTGGATTTTGTAGAATGCTAAGTTACGCAACACTGCTAACTTTAGACCTAGATCTGCCCTAACCACATTTCTCTTACATGTGTATCACACTATTATTTACATTGTGTATGTGATATATTACGTGAGACAATGTCAGGCTAAATCAAATACACACATTAGGTGTTAAGTCCTAGATGAAAATATATTTGAAATAAGTAGAAGAGAAGAAACAGTACAAACCATAGCCCACAGGGTCATATACGTGGCAACCTGGCGCCAGCTTCTCTGTTTGTTGGCAGCATCTCCATTTTCCATCCATCCAGAAGTTTGGGTGGTATTTTGCAACCAAATTGTTATGCTTTGTCTCTGAATCAGACAGAATAAAAACATCATTTGAAACATCCTGCTTGTGAGAGTGCACTGCAATTAGTTGCACTGGAATCATTGATTGAAGCATGTTTTTTTAAATTGCTAACCCTCTTTGAGAGCTCTGACCCATCTCTGACGGCAATCATTGTCTGGAGCAAAAATGTAGAGGTAATAGTTGTCATGAAAAACCTGTAGAGACATTTGCATTTGAGAAAATACTACATCGTTCCTGTGTTATGGCATAATTGTACTACATGCTTAATCATATATTATACTTACTGTCTACAACATTACAGTTAATAATTGTTTATTTTTAAGTGTGCGTGAACCTCACCTGAAAAGGGTACTTATAGTTGCATGGTATGGGGACCTCAGTACACACGATCTCCACACACTTGATTCTGGACAGCTCGATGCAACCTTTCAGCATGGGCTTTTTCTGAAAGAACATAATCTTCACTTGTCTGCTATACACACCGTGGACATGATTTGAACTACAGTTGGTTCCCAGTAAGCCAAATATACAGACCCACTCTCCAGATTATATAATTTTACATTTAAAGCCAGTGTATTCATTGATTAAGTGCATACTTACCCCCGGACGGCGTTCAGAATACTTCAGATCTTGGGTGTCCAATACAAAAAACCTCTCCTTGTAGTTGCATGGTGATGTTCTTTTCTTTTGTTGAGATTTTTTAATCATAGTTGCTTTCAAAATCACCCTGGGGAACATGATCACAGCTGTGAAAAACAGTACGAGAAACACTGCTAGGTTTTGGCTCACAGAGAGAGAGACTGAGTGCTTTACAGTGACAGAAAAAAAAGTAGTGGATGGTAACTTGATAGAAGCTGTGGAGCTTCCGGCATAAAGTTGTTGCACTCGGTAAACCACATCCTTACGGCATGAAATGGGTTGTGCTAGCAAACACACACACCTTTGCACACACACACTGCACATGCAGTCACATGTACTTTCACTGACTATGTTGCAATATGTCAGTGAGTGTGCAGCATAGTAGGAGGGTGATTCTTTAATCTCGGCTCTTTTGAACATTTTCTACCAATTTATGCATCTTGAAGGTAACAATGTATTCTGGTGATGAAATAAAGTTATGGTAAAAATATAAAGGCTGGACAGGGGTGTTAAAAAAAATGAGAGCATAAATCAAAACAACACCCAGTGAACACTTTAAATGTACTTGAAAACAAAATTTCTTAACTAACTGCGTATCGAAACAAAGGTTTCGGCAGTGCAAGGACATTTCCACATTTGTAGCTGCTATAATGAAGATTTTGGAGAGGTGTCTGTATTGTGTAACTTTGTCTTGATTCTGTGTTTTTATGATTTGCCTTGCTGTTTATTTGATTATGCCTCACTGTCATCGTATCTGTCTCTGCTTTTGATACAGTGCTATTGAGATGGCTTCAGTCTTTGTCATTTTTAATAATCCCTCTCTTATGATAATCACGATTACGATTATACAGCTTCATGGAACAATAGAGTTGGGTTCCAGGAAACATGACGGGAACAGTTTTTTGGATCTTGTTCAGAAATAATGGTTAGAGTTAGAGAGGAGGATTTTGGAAAGGCAAGAGTTAAAAACTAACACAATTCGTCCAGACAAACAACTTTGATTTAAATAGATGCTATGGCACCACCATCAGGAAAATTGTTCCTACAATTTCGTCTGCATTAAAATTTTGGATGAGGATTACCACCTGGTCTCGCTGACGTTTCACTTAAGGTAAGGCACTTTTTGTCTAAATGGAATGGGTAGAAAATGAACACAATGTCACAAAATCAAGGTTGAGGATATATATATATATATTTAACATTTATTAGGGGTGAAAATATTTATATTCAATATTTTTATTTCTGTAATGTAAATTATTTGTGTCCACTTTGAGCATTGTAAAAGAGAAGAGATTGTGGTCTGGTAGGTATATAGACATAAAACAGTTTTAAATCTATAGGCGTATACAGTATGTGTGACTGTATACATTACTAATATATTTTCAGATTTGTATAATAAAAAATAATAAAACACATTGGTGTGTAATTGTTTACCTCAGACAACTGTTTTAATGATGATTATGGCCTGCTGTTATTTTTTTATTTTCCTAACTCTGGAAATGACTTTGTGCTTAAATGCTATATAAATAAACTATTATTATTATTATTATTTTATTATAACTATAGGTTTTTGTGATAGGCACGGACTGCAGTTGAAAAGCAGCCAGCTGGCTAACACTGGCACATTTACAGTAATGTTGATTAATGTGTGCTGTCCTTGAAATTAATAAATAAATGTTCATACAAAGGTAGTTTTAGCAAAATATAAATAAATCTTTGGTGTTACCTAAAAGTGTTTTCAACTATGCATTACTTAGCAGTTGGTAAGCAGTTCAATGTACAATATTATTATAGAGGTTAGAAATCACCAAGCTAAACATTATTGTTATTGTCCCTTAAACGTAGCTCACCTCCTTACGTTGTATCTCTACCGCCAGATTTATTTTAAATAATAAAAACTATTTATTTTAAAGAATAAATCCATCTTTTATCAAATGCTACAAAACCAACCTTGATATCGTGAACAATCCAACTACCAATCAGCGTTTAGTTGTTCGTCTGGTACCGTCCAATCCACACTACCAGAAATTTGTGACGAGCACAGTACAGCCAATGGAATTGGGACATAAACGAGGCCGTGTAAGTGTGTGAAAGGGGCTAAGCTAGTCCTAAGCTAATTGTCCGATTAGAAATCTCTGTTACATTTCATATCGAAGCCTACATTGAGCAACCGAGGAGTCATTTCAGAGGTGTGTAGAAGGATCGCCGTTGTCTTTACATTCACGTATTTTGTTAAGTGGCTTTTGATGCCGGCGTAAGTAGTTAGCAGAGGCTAATGTTCAGCGAGTAGCAATGCGGCTAGCCCAGCAGTAACCACTGAGCTAGTTTGGTAACTACGTTTGTTTGTAAAACGTGCTGGCTAAAGTATACGTCTGGTTATAAAGTTAGACTGAAGAGCTGCCTATTTAACAACTTGAATAAAGGTTTTCAAGATTTTAAATGATAATGAATTGTTAGGGCAAGCAGCCGCGAGCGGCTAGCATATCTCGCTTGTTACGTTAACGCTAGCCCTCATCAGCATTAATAACTAGCAGGCAAACGTTAACTTGGTTCATACAAATTTTTACGTTTTAAGTTAACGTTAATAGTACAGCTGAGTAACGTATTCCAACTGTGATAACCAACTTATTTTCCCCACAACATTAAAGTGGAAAATACTGTCCTTTTAAAATGACGCTGAAGTTGGCTTCAGATTCGGCAGTTAAGGAGACACTTGACTTAAATGGCTGAACGACGAAGGCATTTTAGGTAACGTTAAAGCCTTAACGCTGTCTGAAATCCACTTTCCGCTTGGTAAAACATTTTATTCTATTTATGAAAATGCCAAAAAAGGGCGAACAACTTACCCATCGCAGGATTGGGTCAGCTTGTTTTGAGAAAAAGTTGGTTTCAGGTCAGGCAGGTCCTGCTGATCCATGACATACATATTAAACAAATCTGATGCACTAAATCTGTATTTTCAGTGTGTGTTGTAATGTTATAGGGAGCAGAAAGTATCTAAAATGGTGAGGGGCGGAAGAAAAAGGGGAAAGGAAGGAATGACAAAGAATGAAGGAAAGGCTGTGAGAAACAATAGCAAGAGACAAGTAAACGGGAAAGGCTCAGAGCTGGAAGGGAAAAAACAAAAGGAATTAGAAGGAAATGGGAAATAGGCAAAAGTTCAGTGACATGAAGAACAGTAATGACAGGGTAGAAGCAATGCATTTGACTATGACTGATAGAAATGAAGGAAAAGAAAGAGAAATTTACAGAATGTAAGAGGGCAGACAGTAAGACAGAAGGAAATTGATTGGAGGTTTTAGTAGTAGTTAAAGCGCTCCATAGGTACTTTAAACAATAGTAATAGAGTTGTTATATTAGCTATGCAATTGGTAGTTGTAGCAGTATTTTCTAGACTAGCGCAGTGCCCGTTCACATGGGCCGATGTGACTCCTCCCTGCACTTTTTAGATAGTGCATTGCTTATTCAAAAAGTGCATCTCACATTGGTGTCACATACAGCATTATAACGCTGAAACAACACAACAATGGCGGAGATACTGCGAGATATTCAGCACTTCCGCACTTCATAACATTCTTACAAGTCCATTTCAACACATTAGTTTCTAACTTATATCAAACAATTCACTACCACATTGGAGAATATAAGCTCCACCCCGGGGAACATACACCACTATCGCTATTGCAGAGCCGAGCACCTCACACACCACTGTAGTTTATTCAAAGTAAGCCAGATCGCGAAATCTCACAGCACGAGATCTGCCGTGATAGTCATGAAGTGAACTCGCTCTCGCTTTGGGAGCCGCAGCCTGTTGTGATGTGAGTGGTAATGTAGCCGGTAGAGTTTTGCATATAAACATGTAAAAACTGAAGCGCAAACTTGCTTTGTTTGGGACTGTGCGCTGCACTTTCTTAGAGGTGCTGAAGTTAACGTGTGTGGGTTTGTGGTGATTTCTGGCTGATGAGTGAAGTATTTTCAGTTAGTTTCGTTTTCCAAACTGAAGGGGATAACACTATTACCAGCAGAGTAATAACATATGCACAGCAGAGTATAGGGCAGATTCAAAAAATTATAGGAATATTTAAGAAAATTATGACACGAGTCTTGTACTACTGACTTTTTTTCTCGACATGTCAGAGAACACAGATATGTGGGAGAGATTTTTTAATGTGCAGAAAGTTTTGAACATGAGAAGAAAACCTGCTTAAACACAGGAGCTATTAAAGTCCAGGACTTTATTACAGAATTAAAATTAATTAATTTATCATTGAGGTGAAAAGATGCCACATGCACATTTGAGGAGCTTACTTCCCTAAACAAAAGAGGGGAAGACTAAATCATGCCTGCATGTGTGCTGATACACCAGGGATAATATTAAATGAGTTGATCTGCAGGAGAAAATACATATCTGAAACAACACAGAATGCCCGAGAGCCTTACTGCATTTTGAATTGACGCCTACCACCTGAATTATGTTACCGTCAAATAAACAAAAAGATTTCCACCATAAATTGTTGCAGATAAAATCACTAGAATGCAGGAAATTAAGTGTTTAATGCTTAAAAATTTAAAATAATTCAGCACTGAAGACTTCATTAAAATAATTATAATCTAGTCTCATCTCGATCTTGTGAACGCAGTATAGTGTCTCCTCGTGAGTGTCTTGTCACACCCCTAGTGTTTGTGTATCGCTTTTAAATTTAGCTTTAAAAGCGTCAGTATTTTAAGACAATAAAATGAATACTGCATTCAAAACATACATCTTTTAATGAAGGTTTCTCCTGTAGCAACAATCCTGTCATGGACAAAACAGGTATAAGAACAGGTATACGATGTGCATTGCACTTATCTGTGCCAGCTGATTTGCTGTTAACAAGGCAGATCATTTTAACTGATGACAGAGTAGCTTACACGGCACCACACCAAACTGACACAATATATTCTACAAAGAAAATAATAATATATTTGCCAGAATTCCAAGAGAGGACAAATAACTAATTGGGGTCAAGGTGTCGCTACGGCCAAATGATGTCATGAACTAATCGATAAATTAGTTGGCAACTAATTTCATCAACAATTTTTGTCAACGATGTTGATTATTCGTTGCACCCCTAATTTCAACTCACAAGTGGTGCAAAAAATGTAATATTTCCTGTTTCAAAATGGAAGAACTTGTTTTGCATTGCTTGGTAAGGAAAACAGACCGATCAACATTTTTTGTTATGGTTTCAGGTCAGCATCATGGGTGAACCTCAGCAGGTTAGTGCCCTGCCTCCTCCGCCTATGCAGTACATCAAAGAATACACAGATGAAAACATTCGTAAGGGCCTGGCTCCTAAGCCACCTCCACCCATCAGAGACAGCTACATGATGTTTGGCAACCAGTTCCAGTGTGATGACCTTATCATCCGGCCTCTGGAGAGCCAAGGAATTGAAAGGCTGCATCCTATGCAGTTTGACCACAAACGGGAGTTGAAGAAGCTCAATATGTCCATTCTCGTGAACTTTCTGGACTTGCTGGACATCCTTATCAAAAGCCCTGGCAGCATAAAGCGTGAGGAGAAGCTGGAGGACATAAAACTTTTGTTTGTTCATTTGCACCACCTGATAAATGAATACAGGCCACATCAAGCCAGGGAGACACTGAGGGTGATGATGGAGGTGCAGAAGAGACAGAGGCTAGAGACAGCCGAGAGGTTCCAGAAACATCTGGAGAGGGTGGTGGAGATGATCCAGGGGTGCCTTGCCTCCTTACCTGATGACTTGCCGCAGATGGAAGGTCCGGACGGTGCTGGTGATGGGACAAGGAGTGTGTCTGCAGCAGTTAGTGTTGGTTATTCTTCTGGGCAGGCCCCCAGGCTGAAAACTGAACCAATGGATGTAGAGGAAGCAGGTGCCAGCTGTATGGCAGCAGGTCACCAGGACAAGAGCATCCCTACCTCAAAGAGGGACAAAGTATGGGACAAGGATGCTGCCATGTGCAGTATTATAGATGAAATTGCTTAATTTTCCTGTTGAGTCGTTGTGATTATTTTTTGTACACCTAAACTTTGTTTTTTGTATGCTGTTCTTAGAGTAAGTATGAACAGGTTTGCTGTGTTTTCACTGGGCCTGAAATCTTATCTGGAGTTGAATGGTGTTTTATTAAAAAAAAAAAAAATCATGTAGATATTAACAGTTTCTGTTAAGATATTAAAGAATGTATATATTACACAGATTAACTGGGTTGCCAACTTTCAGTTTTTGTAATAAAACCAATAAAAAATTCCAATTGCAGCAATATTGTAATTCTGTCACAATAGCACAGTAGTGTTTAATGAGACCTCAATTAAACACAGAAGTTTAGGTATTGTAACACATTTTATGGATTAAAATACCTAAACATTCTGTATCTCAGGTCCTTTCGCACTTAGGTTTTCATGAACACACTTAACAATATACCCAGTGTTTTGTTGCCTTGCTCATGCAAGTTTTTTACACCAGCATTATTGTAGCAGCTCATTAAATAATGTAAACTCTACCAAAGCACATCTCCCTCGAAGGAGCCTAATTTGCTTATTGCAACACTGGCAAATCCTTAGGCCGGTCCATTTGAAAATTGAAATATACCATTTGTCTAATTCTGTGACACTAGGATGTTTCACCTAGGTATGTGTACATTAATCCAGTAAAGAAATACTGTTAGCCAAGTGTAGTTCTTGTGTAGCAGAGCGTTTCCCCACAGTTTTAAATAATATCTTAGATGTGAATTTAACAAAGGATTTTTGGTTAATCCTGCTCCTACGTCTGTTGAGTAATAGCTGCTTGGTAAGACTATGTAAGGCAAATTTGTTACTTGAACTTGAGATTTCTTTCATATACATGCTATATAAAGCATGCTTTTCACACAGGGCTCTCTCTGGGTGCCTTTGTGGCCCTTTGGGCCAGCAGGCTATAATAATCGGAATCTAGAAGTGTGTGTGTCTGGCTAGCCACAGGCTCCCACCAATGTTTCACTGACCCAGAACGGCTTCCATGAGACAGGTTCCACCTGACTTGCACCGACTTGTGTAACAGCCGTACAAAGGTTTTGTTATAACACTGATCTGCAGCATTGTTCTGCCTTGCCTGAAAGCAGACAACTGATGACATGACTTGTGCTTACATGGACGACAACGACTTGTGCAGTTTGCACCTCCATAGAAAAATATCGACCTTTTTTTGGCATTACAAAATTGAATTAACACGTGATTTGCCTCATTAACTGAGGATAAAAAAAGAATAAAGAAGAGAATATGTTATGCCCCTGCCCCTTCGCTCCCTGGCTGTTATCGTGCAGGGATTCTCTGCACTTCCAGGGTTATTTCAATTTGTTTTTATTATTATTAGTATTATTATTACTCCAGCGATTAGACGCACGAAACTATCAAGTAATCCCCCCGCAGTTGCTTGAATTAAACCGAATAAAAAAACAAGAACTTTTGTCGCATGAATTCTGTTATGAAACTCGGCGTCTATGGGTTTCACAACAGGGCGGAAAACTATCCTCTCGTCCAATCGGATTGCGCGCCGCTGCGTCACGTGATCTTTATTTATGTAATGTATGGTGTTACACGGTAACCCAGCTTTGTGGCCGTGGATATGTCGTTAGGGGTTAAAAGCGGACACTGACTACTGAAAAGAAAGAATATTAACGTGCAAATATTGTGGCACTGGTTCGTGTTGCCGTTATGGAGTTTGGAGCGGCGAGGGAAGCGGCGTACTGAAGTGGAAGCTGAGCTTTTTAAAAAGGGAATGCGTTATGCGTCCCAAACCAAAGGCTACGTTAACTTAGGATTGGACATGGATGATGTCAATGGGTAATACGAAAAGGACATTTGTTTGATGAGCGTTTGAGAGCTCAAGTTAGTTAGCCTAGCAAGCCAGGAACGGGTCTGGTTCGAGCACTGTGGCCACACTGGAAGCTGTGTGTTATTTAAATGGTCAATGCACTACTATCACACAGGAAAGCCTCTCCGTCCGCATTGCTTTGACGAAAAAGGCAACCGTCCTCCCGGTAACGTTGTACTGGTGACATAACTTAACTCGTCCACCACCATGGACATGCTGGAGTGTCCGCTCTGTCTCTTCCTGATGTGCGAGCCGGTGACCATGTCCTGCGGTCACACGTTCTGCCGGAGATGCGTCGGGGGTTACCTCCCGTCCAAATGCCCGTCGTGCAAAGAGAGGTTAAAACAAAGGGAGGTGAAAAGCATGAAGAACAACGTTTTGCTCATCAGTGTCGTTGAGAAGTGCTGCCCCGACGAGACAAAGATGAAGTGCCATGTACAGGAGAAGCTCAAAGCCAACGAGTTCACAGAAGCTTTACGCATCGCGAACAAGGGGCTAGACTTGGGTAAGAGACGCATACAAGACACCCTTCCAGCGGCAGACACAGTACAGAAGTTTGTTTGGGGTACACGTAGATTCAGACAGTGTTGAAACTACTCCTGCAGGTCTGAATGTATGACAAAAGAACCCCACAGTTATATAAGATCACACTCGGTAAGGCAAGATACAGTTTGGAGTCCCACAAGTGTATAAATGGTTTGTGTGAAGCACTTTGAATTGCATTGTAGCTGAAATAGTGAGATATATATAATTATTATTATTTTTTTAAAGTGCCTTTCACATACTTGCTCAGTTTTTTTTCTGGTGCCTAGCGACTTATTAGTGCATCCCATTCTGCTCTCCAGAACACAGTCATAACAGTCACCCACAGTCATAATGTGCACAGTAGTGTACAGAAAGGGGAGGAAACTTGGTGTCTCAAGCACAGATCTTGATGCTGTGGACTTCATTATATCCACTGTCCGAGGCTACTGATGACCTGAATGTATAACTGGGTCAGTAAACAGTCTCCAGGTGCTCCTTCCTTTACAGCAAGAGTCTGGTTTATTTCTGTGTCCATATTGAACCATTCAGGTAAAACAACAAAAATTTAACCTAATTTTATGTGCAGCATAAGAGAGACTCACTGGTGAAAGTTAACCTGCAGTTTCCCTTCTGTCTATGTCGGTCACACACAGTACAAGAAGCAGTAGTAACAGCTATAACAGCTACTGTCTGGAAAATCTAAATATCAGACACACGCTAAGGCCATGTCTGTTTTAGAGCAAGCTTTCTGTACGTTTCTGATGTCGAATCATGGATCAAAAAGCAGGGGACTGTTAAGAGGATGTGGTGTAATGTCTTCACAGCCAAATGCCTTGGGTTCCTAGAAAAAAACCTGCTAAAAGATCTTTTCTACTACCTTATTTGTACAGATACTGAACCTCTGCATAATGTGCAAGTGGCCCTATTTTCTCCATACAGCAGCGAAGGAAGTGAAAGGGACATCTGCCCTAGATGAGTTTTTGTAGTCAGTAGGCGTCCTTGGGATCGTAGGAGTGTTTGTGCTACATTGAATCAGTGTAGCGTTGAATTACCAACATGTTTGCCACCTCTGCCAGTCCAATTAAATACCACTGTTTCTCTTACTCCAGCTCTCTTGGTTATTGTGTAACGATCTCCTAGCAGATTTGCGTATGTCCATTTTTCTTATGTTTTGAGCTTGTTGACATTATCATATATTATTTCATAATGTGGCCATTGTCATGCACTGATACTGTGTATACAATAAATAACACCAGCACGCTGTCAACCAGAGCCTGACCGATAAATTGGCATGCCGATATTATCGGCCAATATGAGCTAATTGCAGATAAAGGGTGTCAGTGTTTATAACAGCTGATAAATGACGATTTAAATGAAACGGATCCCTGTGATGGACTGGCGACCTGTCCAGGGTGTACCCCGCCTTTCGCCCAATGTAAGCTGGGATTGGCTCCAGACCCCCGCGACCCTGTATGCAGGATAAGTGGTTGACGATGGATGGATGAAAGAAACGGAGAGAAAGATTCTTTAATCATCTTATGTGTTATAGTTTGTCATAGTTTGTCACTCTGGTACTCTGCAGCTCCCCTGTTGGAAACACAGGTGTTTGGAATCCACAAATACACTATCAAACACGGCTCTGCTGTCAATAAAATTAAATTCACTGGAGCAACAGCTTAGGTAATAGCGACTCTTGAAACCTTGAAGGCACACATGCACCTATTGGTGAAGCACGGCGCCAATACCAATCCAGAATATCAGGTCAGCGCTTCACAGGTTTTTGGATTTCCCTCATGTTCCAACGCGAGCAGAACTGGTTGTTATGCGGGCTGTTTCATGCCTGACATAACAAGTCTATATGTAGAAAGGAGTGTAAATAGAGTCTGTTTTTTAAAGCCACAGCTCTCCAAAGGTTCTACAACAGCTGTTTTAAAATGCTAAATAGCCTGTTTCTACCTCTCTTTTTTCACACCCTTAGTCCCAGATGATCAGAATTTGAAGGTGTACAGAGCTGAAGCGAACTGGGGCCTGATGCGTTTCTCTGATGCGCTGACTGACCTCGACTACCTCTGCTGCCTTCGTCCTAATTGGACCGAGGTGAGAAACAGGATAGTGCTGGCCAGATACTTTAGGTCCGGCTTTTAACAGTGTTTTTTTTTTTTTCTGCACAGCACAGACAAATGTGTTGAAGCCTCTGTGCCAGGCTGCTGAATTTAACCCAACACTCACTCCATTGGTTGGTTTTGTAACATGCTCCTAATGGCAACCATGAAGAAAAGCTGCTGTTTTTTTAATACATTTTTTGAAATAATCTTTTTCTGTTCAGCGTGCAAAGCTGACCCATTTACAGCGTTTTTCTCTGCTTTTATTGATGTTACATCATTCATAGAGTTATGCAAACAGCTACCTGTGTCATAATGTCATTTAATAACTTTGTACCAGTGGGTGGCTCACTTACCAATTGTACAGTACATTTTACTGTTTAGTTTAAGCTGACAGCGATACATGATGCAAATGACAATCAGTGCAAAATCAAAAAAAACAAAACACATGTATTATCAAACTACAACATATTTGAGACTAATTTATCGATGACATTGCATAGAACTGTTATGTTCTCTGCAGTGACACGACGTGTCATTCAGTCACACAGGCAGTGATGTGCTGATTGCACTCTTCTGTTTGTGCAGGGCTTCTTTCGTAAAGGGAACGTGCTGCTGGAAATGGGTCAGCAGACAGAGGCCCTCATCCAGTTCCACCGATGCCTAAATCTTCAAGCTGACTTTGTTCCTGCGAAGAGCCAGATCAAGAAGGTTTGTTTACCTCACGGACCACTCATCAGAGGGTAATCTCATGTGAAGTTACACTAAAACATGAAATTGGAAAACACGGAATCTGACATAAAAGAGCAATCAAGTCGGACAATTTCATGTGTTGTTTTATTTGGTCTTTCGGAAGAAATGGTACGAATAGATTACCTTACAATGTTGCAAACAGACCTGCACACATCATGTGCAGATCTTTGAGGTGATCAATTAACGTAATTCCATAAATGATGAGTTTGAGTTGATTTAAAGATCTGAACAATATCATCAATGTGTGATTTTATTTTTTTTTTTATAAAGGTCACATCATGATTCATGTGTTCAGAAGCCAAACTGACTTTGCATTGATTGTCTGCTCTGGTTACAGATTATTTCCAGTATGTGTGGGTGCAATTATAGATGGAGATTTTCCATTAGTTGTTCATTATGATTTGCTTTAAAGATAGTATGTGTGGGCTTTTGGTTGTGTGAATTTATTCTTCCTACTATTATTTAAATAATGTTATTGTCCGTAGTACTAGCTCTCGTGGTGGTTTTAATATAAAAACTTTCAGCTACCACGGTTCTGTCATTCAAACAATATGTTTTATATATTTATATGTATACTGTATATATTTGTAGTTCACATGCATGTTACACGCAGTAGGTATTGCATCTTTACATTCACAATTAACTTAAAATTTCATTTCCAATTTTGACACCAATTTTCACTCTTTTCGTCTTTGATTTTAGTGTACAGCTGCGGTGAAAACAAAAACATTTATCTTAATATCTTTTATATGTATCATGGCATGGATTCAAATGGCAGATCCTGGAGGCGGGGGGCATGGCAGTGCCGGATGAGGTGTCCTGCATCTTGCAAGTGGTGTCCGAGTACCTGAAAAAGCCCTGCCCAATCACCAGCCTCAGCGGCTCCCAGGGGCCAACTCACACTGAGGGCCTCAGACATCCACAAGGCGATGACGGAGAGGGAAAAGGGAAGAGGGACGCACACCAGGTGAGAAGAATGTATGCGGTTCTTACGCGCACTTGGTTTTGGGAGGCGTTTGAATGTGAACACACTGGAAATCCGTACTGATGGCTAACCGTGTGTCTTCAGGGCTCCAAGGTGAAGCATGACGCGGGTACTGAGTGCTGCCTCAGCCTCTGCCAAGCTGTTTCCTTTCTCCCTGCTGCTGAGGAGGACGAGGAGATGATGACAAGGAAGGAAGATGGGCATGGCAGAGGTATGTGCATCGTTCTCATCATGATCTCATCTTCATCGTCACTACAAACAGCTTTACCACTTTACCATAACATTCACCAGATGGTTTAACAGCTACTTCTTCTTCAGTAGGAGAAACTCATCATGAAGCTTAAAAGTGACTCTCTCTCTCTCTCTCTCTCTCTCAGGTGGAAGTAGTCACTGCAGAGAGAAAACTCTGGGTGTCCTCACTGTGTCAGACTTTGAGTGCCCTCTCTGCATTAGGTCAGTGTGCTGGAGAACTTGCTATAATCAATAATGCACCACTGCCTGTACCTGGTCTGCTGTTAAGAGTCATATAACAGGCTGATTCTATTCTCGCTCTCCTCTCTCTCTCCCTCTGGTTAATGTTCAGCGCACATGCAGTGTATGCACACACACACCAGACAGACAGCTACTGTACAAATAGCAAATACGTGTTCTTCCTCAGCTTTTAGCAAAAAGCTAATGTCTTTCTCTGTCTTCTGAAGGTTGTTTTTTGAGCCAGTCACTACTCCCTGTGGCCACACCTTCTGTAAAAACTGCATAGAGAGGAGTCTGGACCACAACCTCCGATGTCCACTCTGCAAACAGCCACTGCAAGAGGTAACCACCTACATACACTTCGATACATCTATTATAAACCTGATGTTTTTAGCACATGATGCTTATTTTAAGCTGCTTAATTTTTAATGCTTTGTTACTGCCAACGCATTGTGTTAGTAACACCAAACTGAGCTCAGGCGGGGTGAGATGCATCACTCCTGTGCTTTAGCTGTGTCAAAGTTTGAGTTTCTACTAAGCATAATAGATTTTTCATACACCTTTTAACATGTTAACAAATTCACATAAAGTTAGAGGGAAGGAGAAGTTCCTGGTTCCTCATTCCTCCACCATATCTATGATAAATGACACTATTGTATCAGCAATACAGTGAATTGTTTTACTCAAGCATTTTTTGGAATATATATATATGTGGTTGTGTATAATTGCTTAAATGTATCATAATGTTGCTATTAGAGCTGATTGCTCTCACTTTTCTCTGCCCAGTACTTTAAAAACAGGAAGTACAACCCCACAGTTCTGCTACAGGACATCATGATCCGACTTTTTCCCTCACAGTTAGCTGAGAGGAAACAGGTCCATGATGCTGAGATGGCTGAACTGTCCAAGTAGGCACCTGCTTCACACATTTTACACTTATCATTCATTGTTGCAACTTCAGTCTCGCCTTATTCCCTCCCTTATTTCTTTTTTATCTTTTTCCCTCCGGACTCTTGTCTTCTCTTGCCCCTTGTCTGTCTCTTCCTTTGTAGTCTTACTAAGGACATCCCTATATTCGTTTGCACGGTGGCCTACCCTGGAGTGCCCTGCCCTCTGCACATCTTCGAGCCTCGTTATCGGCTAATGATGCGCCGCTGCATGGAGACTGGCACCAAGAAGTTTGGCATGTGCAGTTATGAGCATGGGAAGGGGTATGCAGTTTCCTGTTTTTATCCAATTATCCAAAGCAATATTTTTATTTGATTATTGTGGATTTGGGTAGATATATTAATGTTTTGTACAAATATAGCCAGTTTTGAACCAGGTGCGGTTATGCCGTGTACATTTACACAGGTGTTTACAGTTATTTTGTCCAGACTGTGAGCATGGAGAGACTCTGTTAGAACGTTCCCCTAACTGTGAAGCTCACAGCAGGCTAGGTGAAGCCTGATGGGATTGTCGGCAGTGCAGCACAAGCAGGCAGCACAGTGGACAAAGTTTAAATCAGTCATATGTGACTCAGAGTGGGTGGAAAATAGCAGCATGTTCAACAATCTGGTGAGAGATCTGCTCTGCGTTTTCATCCCCCCACCAGATATTTGTTGTTTGTTCCACTGTATGTTTTCATGTTATTGAATTTGCCAGTATGATCACTGATATATCTATATATCTAAATAATACTAAAACATGCAAATTATGTGCAAAAAAATTTTGTTTTTAAACACTGTTTCTGCAGCTTATTATATTGATTATGGAAGTTTATAAACCTTTTGTGTCAGTCTGACTCCTTTTCAAAATTGAATTGAACATTAAAAAAAGCTTCATTAAAATGTATGAAATCTCACAATAGCAATAACAAAACACGTTGTTGAACTTTACCAAGATGTCGTATTTTATGTGAAGTGTACATACAAATAACCATCAGTTAACTATCAGACTAAGAGATGAATTATGATGCATACGTTTTAGACTATCAATGTTTTGCCTCAGGTTTGCAGACTACGGCTGCATGTTGGAGATCCACACTCTGGAGCTGCTGCCTGATGGACGGTCCTATGTGGACACAGTGGGTGGCAGCAGATTCAGGGTGCTAAAGAGAGGTCAGAGAGATGGCTACCACACCGCTGATATAGAGTACCTGGAGGACCTCAAGGTCAGGGTCGCAGAGATCAAAAACTACCGCAACACTTGCTGAAGAAACACACTGAAAATATAGACAACTTCTCTCTCGCTCTCTCTTAACCTGTCCCAGGTTGATGGCAGCGAGTTGGAGCTTTTGCATCATCTCCATGACAGCGTGTACCAGCAGGCTCAGGACTGGTACCAGCGCCTTGGTGGTCGCATTCGCGAGCAGATCAACAGACAGTACGGCACCATGCCAGAGAAGGAGGAAAACATTCAGGTTAATAAGTGATACTGCAGCTTTTGTAAACATTGTAACAACACATTTCTCCAACGGTGTCCAGAAACCACTGAGCATTTATTTACCTGTAGCCGATGTTATCCACCACTGAAATTATGTTTCCTTACTGACCTTTACAGAAATAGGGACCATTTATTTGGATTATTTTTCAGTTGTTTTGGCTTTGTAAGTGATTCATATCCCAGCGTTTCCACAGTCATCAAGCCCATGTGGTGGCTAATTAGCATGGTTTAGTCTACTTACTACAAATCAGTTATACCAAACATTTCTACAAACCAAAGCCTGTCTTTTTTAAAGTACTTAAATTCTGTTTTATCTATGAATATCCATTAATTTCAGTATAAAATGAAAATTCTTAACAAAGAAGATGTCTGCTCCATTACTGCACAGTGGAAACATTCACTTTGACAGCAATAAAAACAGACATTATGTTCATGGGGACAGAGTATCAGCAGAATGAATGGAAAACATTGAACAGTTAGACGGTGAGACATACACAAGGTAGAAATCCAAAACATTACAGTGTGCTTAAAAATGGGTACACAGTAATGTCAAGTCATTTGTACAAAAATGGCTGTTATGGTTATATGTTTCTATTCTAATCCTTTGTAACCATCCTCTAGGCCTCGTCCAACGGTCCGGCCTGGTGCTGGTGGCTGCTGTCTGTCCTCCAGCTGGACCCTGCCTATCAAACCACTGTCCTCTCCCTGACCTCACTCAAAGAGCGCTTGGGACACCTCCGCCTCGTCCTTGAGTACTTCTCTCAGAGCTAGACCCCGCAGCACAGTGGTATTGTAGCCACAACTAGCTGAGAGTCAAATATATTTCTCACAAACACGCAAATGTAGTGAAATCAAAGAATGCATTCACACCGCAGGAGTTGGGGTTGGGTTTTGGACTATGAAGGACCGTCTTAAAAAGTCACAGTTTCAAGGCCATATCATCTGGTCAATAGGAGAAAGATGTTGGTTGTCTTACTAAAGAGGGTTTTTGCTGTTTGAGTTCACATTTGTTATCTTTTTTTTTTTTTTACAACATTTTCTTCCCCGGGAATTCAAGTTTTCACAGAAGTTTCTGAATATATATTGTACTTGATGTACCAGTAAGACCAACAAGGTTGACCAAAGATGCTTCTTATTTAGGTCCATCAAAAGTGGTAAATTATTATTTGTGGATAAACAAAATGAGTTCATTTTCCTATTTACATAGCTGAAAATAGGCACTAGGTGTCACTGTTTTTCCTCCAGTTGTCATAAACATGAAGAATATGTAACAGCATCAGCCAAGCTTGTGCAGTATACTATACTGCGTTGCCTATTGAAATCAGACTATTTGCATTAGCGTAGTTGAGTTTGGAGTGAGAGTAAACACTGATAGCACACACACTGTGCAGACATTTTTCAGGACTATGCACATCAGAGGATTTAAGTCCGTAATCATTTTGAATATTGAGTTATTTGGATATTGCTGAAGGACACTACTTGTAATGCTTACATTTTTGTTGCATCTATTGGCCTTGGTAGCCATTCACTATGGTTCATTTTATACTAGTGAATAAGCCTAATTAGTATTAGAAAATATTGCAATAATAATTAATAGTGTCACATGGAATGGCAGCAGCTGGAGGATCTTTTTGAAATGAAAGCTGATGATTTGGCAGCTGTCTCTGGATGCTGTTTGATATCAACTGGTGAGAAAATAGTCTTCTGTTAAATTATGACAATGAGGAGACGGGGTCAGTGAATGGGAGATGGAGGCGGACCAGTCGTGTGTGTGTGTGTGTGTGTGTGTGTGTGTGTGTGTGTGTGTGTAAATAAGGAGCCATTTTTGTCAGTGGCCATCTGCATTAGCTGACTGGTTGTTTATTTTGAAATTACATACAGCGTGCTGTTAACACTGTCATGTGTGGTTATAAATGAAGCGTCAGTCCCAGGACACCGTGTTGAACATCTCTTGCTGTAAAGCTGTAAAATAATTTAGCTAGGGTCTGACTAAGGCTGAGTCCCCCTGCGGTGCCTCTGTGTAGGCCACATCACCTACGTCTGGCCCCTGCTGTGTCTCCCTGTCTGTCTGGCCCCTCTACCACCAGTCCTGGTGCCTTCGAGTGCCTGGGTCAACTCACCAGGAGAACTGCAAGTCTTAAACGTTTTACACCATGTGGAGGATGGACTGTGATTTCTTTCCATTGATTTTTATTGATATAGTGCTACATCCCATGGAATGTTGAAGCAGCAATGTTATGTAAAACAAACACAGGCCTAACTGGGTGAAACAAAAGCGCTATTTTTTAACTTTAATAAATGTGCCATAGATATTCATATGTTCTGTTTTATGGGAATTGTTAACAAACTAGTCACTTTGTCTACATCATGGACAAGCATGCCTCTTTCTATGGTGGACAGTGAACTACCATCTTTTCATGGCCAACATATCGCTTTAAACAGTCAGAACTAGTCCAGCAAACACAGTTAGATAAATACAGGACAGTAGCCCTGCTAGTGTGAATTTGTAGATACATGTAGAATTAAAGGGGTTATTTTGAGACTTTATACAAACGTCCCACTAAAGGATGAACCAGTGGCTAGACTGTTGGATACTGGGGTTGCATTGGTTACCTGATAAACAGGCTAAGCACTGAACTCTGAACACTTAACGTGCCATCTGGGATTGAGATTGGAGTCAAAGACTTTAACGTGCCAGTTCTCTCAACATGTCTCCAAAGCTAGCAGGTCACTGAAAAATGGTATTTATTCTAAAGGTTTTTTGCTACCAGACATGATTAAAGCTCGCTCAAAACAAAAAAGGGACTGATATTCTTATAGAATTTTTTGAATGACCTCCCTCATAAGCCTCTGTGGTAAACACATGACTACAAGTCTGTGACCGCTGAGGTGAAATTCACTCCCCTTTCCTACTTCTTATTAGAAAAGACCAGTATATTTGCACAGTGAAATCGCTTTTGTGTGTTTTGTGTTTTTTTTCTCACGTTTCTCTCTTTTTCAAATCATGCATATTTCTGTGTGTCACTTTTATTACTTAAAGACGCCACCTTTCATTGAATAAAATGGTGATGTATGCTGATCACAGCAATCGGTCTCATATTGGTTTCCTCTGTTTAACTTGTGGTTTACTCTGCGATTAAATACTAAAAAAAAATTCTGGCTGGGGAGGGTTGATTGCATCCCCATATTTGTGATCCAACTATTTGTCAACTTAATGTTTAATTTGCCTGTAATCTTTTAATAGGTTCAACTTTGGTGCTGGTAATGCATTGCAGCACAGTCATGATTTACTTTGAGACTTTGATCTCATTTAGACTGCAGCTCGTGCCCCCTTCATACCCTGGCAGATGTCGATTAGCCATAGTTGCAGTATATAATTGGGCTATCAGAAAATGCCCTCCAACACAGTTAAAACAATTTGCTCTGAATCCACACAGTCTCCAACGCAGAACACAGAGCATAATAATTGACTCGTTCTTGGCAGCAATTCGTGAGAACGAGTCTTACACTTGTGTACTTGGGAAAGGCTGTGAAAAGCAGCACGGTGGCGTGTTCTTGCTATGTGCTGCAGCTTGCAGGAAATGTTGGCTGATGTGGTCTGGTGGTCTGTGGGCTGTATGAACTATATACATATACACTATATCTACATATTCTCTATACTCTACTCAAACCTCAATGCTGGTTGCAAGTACATTTAAACCCAATGAAACTTAAGCAATTTCTGTATTTACTAATTTGTATTCATTCCCCTGCCTCCCAAGCCAAGAGCAGAAATTATCTTGATCTGATTATTGTTTATTTGCTTGCCCCCTGGATGGCTTTTTACATGGTATTACAAATAAAGCTTCTCAAAGCAAATTCTGCATTATCATCATGTAACGTGCCTGTTTTGTCTCTTGATTTGAATGTTATGCGAGCAATCTTTTGGCCATTAAGGTGACATTACAAGCCAATTGGAAGTGGCGGGATCTATTGCAATTCACAGCATGGCAGAAATTGATAGCGAGGAGGGGGTGATGGGAGTGAAACGTGACTCACATGCGGATGGCAAGACATTTTGGCATGGAAACAGATATAATTACTGAGAGATCTGTGAAGTGCTGCAGCTGCAGCAGACTGAACGAAGCCTTGGGTTTGCTCTTGTGGTTAGAAATTAAAATGAGAAGAGATAGAGTGGGTATTCCCAGTGAATATCCAGTCGGGTGGTATTTTCAGATTAACTGCCTAAATTTTGACTGTACAGCCACAGAGAAATGGCTTGGGTTTTGATATCAAAGTCACCTATTTTTTAAGCATAATGTTCTGTCATGCGCCACAGAAATGTCATCTTTGTGATGTATAGTTGGTGAGATTTAAATAACGTCTTGCACAATTCACACCAATGTGTAATCTGAGAGGAAGTGTCATTCTCAAAACGTGTGAACAAGTCTTTCAATACAAGAAATCATTTCACAGCAAACATGTAATGAATACACTTTCCACCAGGGGCAGTCTGTAGCTGTGGAAGGATAGTAGAGCTCTACACAGATTGAATCATGCTTAATAAACAGGGAGAAATCTGTTTTTTCCATTCCATAAAAGCAAAAAATGCTCATGTTAGTGACACAAATAGGGTCAATCATGTGAAACAAGCTGGAAGGAAGTAGTTATTTCCCATGCAGCTAAAAAAAAAGAACATAAATTAGTGAAAGTAAAAGAGGATGTGAGAGTGTAGGTGTGCATGCTGGAAAAAAAGAAAAACAGCGTAGCAGAAGAGAGGCACGTTTCCTGCCAACGTCCTCTGCATAGGAAGCAGGCAGATGAAAAGAGGTTTCACTGGCTTCAGCTGGGTTCTGTAATGCAGCTCAACGTCTACATCAAAGCCCATTAGATTTGAAGAATGCCACAGCTTTTCTGTACTAAATTGATCCATCGGCTTGCGCTGACTCCCTGCTTGTGTATGACTGAGTAAGGATGACAGGCGTTTTGTAGGAGTTATCGCAAAAGGGGAACCGGCTGTGGCTGTGTGTGTGTGTGTGACCGAATTTCCTCACAGCGATGGAAAGATGAATCACATTTTGGCTAGTTAAGAGTTATAGGTTTAGGAATTTATGTTAGCTAAGGGTCAAGGTGGGAAGTGCAACAGAGTGCTTCAGTCCTGAAAAGCATATTAATACAAATGAGCGTGTGCAAATGTGTGTGAATCTTTAATAATTATCTGCCATAATTATGGCACAACTCACTGGGGTCTCCACTAAAATAGACCATCCTGCTCCCTGTGCAATATAGAACAACAGCAAGAGAGCCACAGAGAGCACTAGAGGATGAATGCAGCTCTGTTGTCATAGGAACAAAACCAGTCCAGGCAAAGCTCAATGTCAAGAGTAGGATTATCAATTAGGAAATTGAGAAACTTTGTCTTTGAAGTGAAAAGCATTTTGTTTACCTTACACAGCATGAAAGGTAACACGCACAGAGCTAATTCCCGCAGATATAAGTGTGGTGAATTGAAACAGAGCGAAGGCGAGAGGAAGATAGTGGGAAAGAACTCAAGTTGCCACATTTTTTCAAGCCGTGTGTGTGTGTGTGTGTGTGTGTGTGTGTGTTCTTGCGTGGGTCTGAAGCTGATAAACTTAGCTTGTTTCTGCCTTTGTATAATCCCCTTGAGTGTCAACACGATGATAAACCCATGAGGATGCTCTTGTGTGACAGTGCCTCTGAGAGCCTAGGTAAACACATTGGCCTGCATCTGTTAGCACCATGGGGCACATCATAAATACGCTGATATAAAGAATCACAGACACCCCCTTCCAAAAAAAGCAACAATAAGACAGAGACCCAGCCCAGGAAGGAGCATTGTGTCGCAGAATTAGCCAACAAAACCTTTTTCCTTTCTTACTCTGAAAGCTCTTCCATTTCCTTCCAAAGAAGACACTTGATGATTCAAGCTATAAACTTATGACGTGAGGTGAACAAAGGGATTTGACATTCTATGTTGCATGATTGACAGTTTAACATGTCAAAAAAGATGGATGAGATATCCCTTTGGCCCACTACAAAGAACTCTCTGAGGCAACACAGGAGCTGATTTATTGGGTTGGGTTAGATGGGGGTTGGGGGAATGGGTGTACTCTTACATTCTGGTGATTCCTTGTAGGAAAAAAATGTAAAAAATAAAAGAAGCAGATCGGGATTGCCTGCTGGGAGATGAAGGACAGGAGAAACAGGAAGCGAGCGGGTGGGGGGGGGGCGCGCTGCAGGAGACATGATGTAATGCAACTGGCTCACTGGTTCATAGAGTTACCGCCTGCTGAGACACACACCTGGTTGTGGGGCTGCTTTCATATACTCCTCACAGTTGTATAAAGTGGTCTGTGTGCATGGTGTGTTGCCTGTGTACATTTATGTATCTGAAGGACAAAGAGAGCCATATGTAATAATGGAAGGTCATTCCCAGAGCCAGTTTTATGTGTGTCCACTCTTGATTCTCCATCTGGTGTATTGTGCAAGCAATAGGTGTTTGAAGGTTTTGTTTTCATGTGTGTCTGAGGCCAGCTGTATGCTTGGAGCTAAATGTGATTCAATGTGTTCGCAAAGACAAAACGGCTAAGATGTTGTGGCCAAAAGAAATAACGCAACGTTTGACCTCACCCACAGCAGTGTGTGCAAGACTAATTTAGCATTTGATTGCTGTTACCATTTCACTGGGAACTTGTCAATAAATGTCACCAGATTGATTTATCTTTGCTATATTTATTGATTTTATGAATTATCTCTTTTTATCGTTTCCTGAAACTGCAATTCTCAAGGTGCTCAATCTACCAGGCATGTCATTTTCCACTTTAACCTTCCTGACCCACTAGCGGGTGAGTCATTCGAAACTCATGCCCAGAAGCCAAACAGTGTTCAAACCCACAGAGGTTTAGCATTTAATGATTTTTTTTAAGTCTTGAGGTTTGAACATTTCACTCAATGTTAAAAATCATATAGCTTTAATGAAGACCTGGAACAAGCTGATACAGAATATATGTGTGATACTGTTAGACAATGACATTAGTTTTCCAACACTGAAGCTAGATTATTATCATCCAGCTGTATAGTTCCCCTCAGCTAGCTAGGGTGCTTCAGCATCTTTCAGCCAATTGTTTTGGTGTTATGGCTTATAGCTACTTTTATGGTTCAGTCTCACCGAATGAACATCAACCCTATTTCTTGATGAAGCAGGCAACTGTTTTTACTGTAAAACCTCTAACCTACTGTACGTACGCTACCTGCCCAGCAACAAACAGCACACATTTAGCGACTATCTTATTGGAGCAGCAGCTAAAAAGCCAGTTAGAGAGAGCCTAAGTCCCTCCCCTTCCAATGGACCACCATGGGACCTTACTTTGGAAAAAATATGTTCGGTAGTCAATGGCAAGAGAAAACTAATTTTATTGATTGAATTGTGCTCCGAATTACACACATGATGATGGTCAATTTAAAATTTACATTTAAAAGGACTGAGAGTCATTGGATTAAACACATCAGAGATTAGATATGTAGTTCATTCAACATTTTTTACACAAGACTGAATATAACTTAGTTACATATATAGCAAATTGAAGTTGCTTTGGATAAACGCGTCAGCTAAATGTAAATGCTGTTTGCTAACGTGCCATATCAACTTTTTAAGGTGAGTGTTGTGTTTACAACTTGTTCTGCTGCCCTCAAATGGCCAAAAATATATAAATAAGGATTTTCTTTCAAGGGAAAATTAGTATGTCAAGGGGTTAAATTAAACCAACAGACAACAAGTCAGAGTAAATGTCTTTACCTTACCTAGCTGTGTTTATTTGAAAACATTTAAAATTATTTGGTGGAACCACTGACAAGGATTTTCACTCCTGTGGCACAAGACGGCAGAGAACAAGTCAGACAAGTCTCTCTCAGTTAAGCATATTGTACAGAAGGCAAAAAACTGACATTTTTCCTTAAATAAAAGGATGTCAGGAAGCTAGAAGACAAATGGAAGAGATAACTTTTGAATAACGACTATCTAAATAATGAAAAACAGCGTGGAAGGTCGTATCTACAAGTTCCAAGACAATGGATAATGGACAGTGATAATCATTGCGATAAAGATGATGAAAGTAGGAAATAAGTAGTTGAAGAAAAGTGAGATGCTGCAGTAGAAGAAGTGGGGAGAAGGGATTCAGGAAAACGAGATAAGAGGACAGAGTGATTCAGAGGCCAGATCAATTTGACAACTTTGCACATTTTGGTAAATACAGAGATATCAGTCTATTTCATCTCATCACCTAGCGGTCAGAATTTTCCCAGCAGCAAGTCAACACAGATGTTCTCAAAGGAGAGTGTGCCTCACCTCGGGTGAGTTTAGGATTTAAGTTTGTTGCAAAGAGAAGGTGTGTCTGGAAGATAAGGCGATGTCTCAGTAACAACAACAGAAGCCAAAGCTGTGCATGAGATCATATTTGCTGTTCAGCCTCCGGGTCTTATCATTACATTAAGTCCTGTAACAAAGGAACAATACAGAGCAACTGGGAGAAGTGAAAAGCCAGGTGTGACGTGGATGAAGGAAAGAAAGAAAGAAATTAAGTGTGTGGGAGGAGGGGTTCTTGATAAATGACAGACAGGCACCACCAGCACAGTGACTAACTGCTATGATTCGAAGCATTTCAGCATCACTGAGCACATTCTCGAATTTTGATGTTTGGTTGTCATGGAGGCGAAGCGGTCGCCCTTGGTTACCATTACATTGATAATCTGCTCACTGGGCATTTCTTAATTAGATCACTGTTGGACGCTAGACATCCTGCTAAGGGACAGTATTTAAAGGTGTGTGTGTGAAAATATATGAATGTCTGACTGTGATAGATGGATACATCTGTA